TGCTGAAGCATCTTTCCAAAGGTAGCCTGCAAATGCAGACATATTAATTTTTTTGTGGCTGTGCCTTTTGACTGCTGATGAAGCAGCCACAAATGTATGTGCATTGGAAAGGCTATGTCAAAGCTTGCATCAGTGGAATGTATTTTACCAAAATGTTTAAAAACAAAAGGATAGAGGTGTATGAAGAATTCTAACATTATTTCTATTTATTAATATTATTGTTTTATCCAGAACATTTTTTAATGTATCCATCGTCCCAGTTTTTAAATAACAGTATAATCAAGAGTGGTGGTAAATCAAAGACTGCATATTACAGTGCAACTAATATAATTGGGGCCACCTAGACAAAGTTGACCAATCAGATTACAGGAATGTAACAATACATTCTGCGAAAGTTAGTCGTCAAGCATAATTACCACAAAATGAAATAAACAACATGGATCGAAGTTAACCAATTACAACATAAAGATGTGACATTTTGAACCTGTTTTGAACCTGCTGAATAAAGTGAGTGTTTCCTGAGAGGTCCATTAGAGTGTGTCACAGAGGCGAAAAATGTAAAGGTTAATTATATTTTTGACTTGAGGTCACATGTTATTGCAAAGTGTGGCAATGGTAGTGAAGAAATTGTTGGTAGATGACAAAATAACAGCTTGTGTCAAACAGATGTCTCCTGGGTGTTACATGTAAAGTTTTGAATAGAAAAACATTGTCTGGTGAAACATTTTTGTTTTCTTGAAAAACGTTGGCTATCAATATTTAAATTTTGTGCTTCAAGAAACTTTTTTTTTTTTTTATGAGCTGCTGATTGGCCCACAACCAACTTTCTGGTAATTATGTGTTGTTATTTTCATGTTATCCAATTGGTCAACTTTGTCTAAGTGGCCTGGGTTACAGTAGTCACACTGTAACACACAAAAAACTGTTTTGAATTTGTGAAAAACATTTAAAAAATGCTGCACTTATATCTGTATATAATATACCAAATAATTTACTTTGTACATTACCTTTAAATGAAAAATTCCGATTAATGCTGTCCATTACTAATTACAAACACAATACTTACCCGTACTGTATCACAATAAAGGTTTGCATCAAATGAAATGTACTTCATTTGTCTTCAACTGCCATCCCATTTTCAGTATTACAGTTACATTATCAAGAAAAAATAAAATTGCAATCTGCAACAGCACTTTACAATGTGTAGGTGTGATCAACAGTCCTTGTGTAAATCTCTAAGACCTGCCTCGTGCCTTGCCTGGTCCCTGTATGGCATTTTCCCAGTCCCTCTTGGTCAATTCACTTCGGTGATGTTAGATATCTCTCTCTCTCTCAATAAAAATTAGTGAGCAAAGGAGGGAGGGAAGGAGAAAACGGGCCATGGGAAAACTTTCCTTGGTCCCTTGTGCTTCATCATCAATCACTCGCGTTTCATGCTCGCCTCTGTGCGTTGATTCTAGCCTAAAGAAGAAGACAGCCGGAATAACCAGTGCTCTCTCTGCCTTCTTGCTCTTGCCCCTTACCCCATCGTTTTTCTCATTTGACCTCAGTTCAGCACACCAAAAAGAACCGTCTGCTATGGATGCTAAGTTGAGTCAAGAAAATATTGGATATTTTTTGAAATGATGATGATGATGGTAATAATAAATCCACACTGTACACTTGATGAGTTTTAATAAATAATTTATACAATAAAATGAAATTCTTCTGTGAGCAGATGCTATGTAACAGTTGCCAATCCCTTGTCAATCATACCTGAAATAAAAATTCAGAGACAACCATAAAAATCCTTACACTTTACTGTAAAGATGTCCTGCCAAAAAATATGTTGGGCAATGATTTTAATGAGTGTTCAAAACACGAACAGCAGTGTTTGCTTCACGTCTGAATTTTTAACTTGGTAAGACACTTGAGAAACATGTCCTGGAGTATAGCATTTCTGCTGTTATTGTTGTGAATCTTCAAAAGTACAGTTTTGCAAAATGCAGACCAAACAACAAAAATACACATGGGGGGTTGCACACAGATTCCCCTTGATCTAATAGAGCATTAAGTTTTGTTCAGAGATTAGGGCTAGGAGACCCTTTTTTGCTGTGAAAAAAAAAGTGACCAGTATTAATTTTCAGTCCCGCCAGACAGTGACCAAAATAGCTGGAATAGCTTCAAATAGTGTTGTCCAGCAAAATTTTTTAAGGGGAAATGTGTCTTAACGAATTTCAACCTGTAATTAAAAGTAAATACTTAGGCTTTTTGTGGCCTAGTGGCATAGCTTTTGCCCTTAGTGTTTTTTTTTACCCAAATCTGAGTTCCGCAAAGTACCAGTTAAATTTAATTTTTTCTCCTTTCTGCTCCTTTTTTTTTGGCTATTTTCGCTTTTTCTGCTTCTGTTGTCCCTTTCCCATCAAGCTTTGCGAGGTTCTTGGAGACGGAGATTTCTAGTGGGAAAATTATTATTGTTGGTAATCATACTTAAAGAGAGTTGAATGTTGATCTTTCCTAGGTACTTGAGGTGGCTTTATAGAGGCCATGACTTTTCTTGCATAATCAGTGTTATGAATCCCTGCATCTCTCAGGGCTCTTTCAACTTTTAGCCTGGTGTCTCCTGCCATCTGAAAGTAATAAAGATGTTTAGTCAATGATTGCTACAGACGGTTGAAAAGATGCTGAACAATAACAGACAAACCACAACACAAAATCTAACCAACATTAGTTTCCACAACAGTAGGAAACATCGAAAACATTACTTAGATATAGCAATGGATCATCAGATCTTGTACCTCGAATACCATGTCATCATTAATAATAATAATAATAATATTTAATACTTATATTGCGCTTTTTCTATAAAAATACTCAAAAGCGCATTACAATAATTATTATTAATAACTAAATTAAAAACCAGTAAAATTACCCGGTAAAATTACAATAATAAATAAAAATAAATAAATAAATAATCTAACTAAAAGCCTTTTTAAATAAATATGTTTTAACAGAGCATTTAAAAGAGTTGATTGATGTTTCCTGTCTTATTGGCAGAGGAAGACTGTTCCATAAAAAGGGGGCAGCCATTGATAACGCGCGATCTCCCAAAGTCTTCTTCGTTCTTAGCCGAGGTCTTTCTAATAATATACCATTATTGTTACGGCGTAGTTGGTAACGTGAGTCGGGTAAGACAGAGACAAGATCATTAAGATAGCTAGGCGCAACACCGTGAAGAATCTTAAATGTAACAAGGAGAATCTTAAAATCTACGCGCAAGCGAACTGGTAGCCAGTGGAGTTCTCTTAGCAAAGGAGTAACGTGACAATACTTAGGTGCGCAGTAAACCAATCAAGCACTGGCATTCATGACTCTTTGAAGTTTCTTAATTTGATACTCAGGAGCACCGTACAATAAACCATTACAGTAGTCAAGCCTGCTTGTGATGAACGCGTGAACAAGCCTCTCGGTGGACTCACGAGACAAATACTTCCTAATGTGCCGGATATTGTACAAATAATAAAATGTGCTAGCACAAGTCTCAGTCACATGAGTCGACATGTCCAGATGAGAATCAAACCAGGTGCCCAAATTGCGCACTGAAGAGGCAGGCGATACCTCAGCTTGGCTGATCTTGATCTTGTCAACGGACACCTTTGATAACTGTCGTTCCGTGCCAGTGATCAAGAATTCAGTTTTATCGTCATTTAGCATTAACTTATCATCTCTCATCCATGCGCGAACGTCACGAATACAGTTCTCAATCGCAATCACAGCATCAGCCTCGCTGGTCTTATCAACGGGATTAAATGATATATATAGCTGCGTATCGTCCGCATAGGTGTGAACGGATGGCAGATGAGATTTCATGATGTCAAACAGCGAACTCGCGTAGATGGTAAATAAGACGGGGCCCAAACAAGAACCTTGTGGGACCCCACAAGTCAGATTAAATTTCTCAGAGAGCGATCTGTTAACTGAGACCTGCTGCGTTCTTCCCGCCAAATAAGATTTAAACCATAATAAAGCCTTATCCCGAGCTTGGACTGCAGCCTGTGCAGAAGAAAACCGTGATCTACGGTATCAAACGCAGCGCTGAGATCTAACATAACAAGCAATGTGACGTGACCTTTGTACACATTTAGCAGAAGATCGTTTTTAACTTTTAATAATGCCCTCTCAGTGCTGTGATTCTGCCGATATGCGCTTTGGAGGACAGGAAATAAGTTGTTGGCTGTCATATGATCTTGTAATTGGATAGCCACGGACTTTTCCGTAATCTTTGATGTAACCTGCAATTTGCTCAGCGGTCGAAAATTTTTGTTAATTGGTTTGAGTCCTGCTTTCTTAAGCAAGGGGTTCACGAACTAAAGCATTCTTCCAGTCCTCTGCAAAGATGCCAGACTCAAGAGACAAGTTGACAATTTTCCTAATAACAGGGAGCAGTTCATCCAAACAGAAGGACAGAATAGACAATGGTAGGGGATCAAAGGCGCACGACTTTGCACATGAGGCATTATAATTATTTAATAATGGTGATGATGAGAACAAGGAGATCTGATTACAGTAAGGTTGCACAAGATGATAAAGTTGTTGATACCAGCTGATGGTAATGTTGATAATGATAATGACAATTATACCTAAAGTATTATATTGGCTCTGTGGTAGATCATGATGATGACAATAACATTCAATTTGATATTCTCAAAGGTCATATTGGCACAGTTTATGATGAAAATTACTATGATGGTGAAGATGAACAAGATCATGAAACTTCATACACACTTCAAATCCACCTCTTGAAACATTTCAATTTTGTATTCTGAGAAGCAAGATGGACATGCGGTTCAAAATTGAATTATAATCCTTACTTTGTCGAAAAAAATTGCACAGTTCTGTTTAGAAATTACTTTACTGACCTTCTTTTCATCATATCCATGCACAGAGAAAAGAGGATGCTGAAGATCAAGTTCTTCCTCGTAGATGCTGGCCATGCGTGCTTGGGATGCCTGTGGAAAGTCATACTCAGGTAAGATTCTGCTCTCAGCTTGTAGCTATTAAAATGAGCCGAACTGTAAGATTGATCTGTAAACTATGGAATTTGGTGCCAAGACACACTCTTTTAACTATTTATTAATTCCTTGCTGCTCCTTATTTAACGTATGGTTTGATGGCCTGGGGCCAAGCATGCAAATCTTACTTTGAAAAGCTTCTTAAGCTTCAAAAGCGAGTTCTTCGCTTCATCTATTTTTCTGAGCAAAATCAGCATACAATTCCTTTACTTATTGACGGCAGTGTTTTTTAAATGCTCCTAGCAACATTCAAGATCTCTTTCAAGATATTTCATTCTTAGAATACCTGATCCTCTGCCTCTAATAACTTTTACACACAAAGTTCAAGACTCTCAATTCAAGTGAACTCATTTTCTAGAATTGGAACAAAAATATGGAATGAAATGCCTGTAACTTTAAGAAATCTTTCATTTAGTTTTTTAGGTCTCTTGTCACTTTTAGTTGTATTTATTTCCTGAAAACATGAACCACCCAGATTAGCATAGCTACCTGTGGGCATGTTACAATATTGTTGTACTTCAATCTTAAACTACAAATAAAATGTATGTATATATCACTAAAATCGTTAACTGTTAAACAAAGATAACATAAACGAAAAATGTTATATCATTTGGTACCAACCTCAGTTGCTTTAAAAATTCTTGCAGGATCATCTTCCACATGAACCTGTACCTTTAAAATGAAAAAGTGCACGGTGTCATCAAATTGAAAACTTTAAAATTACCATGATTTTTTAAAGAGGGGATCATAATGTTTATTTTACCTGTTGTCTGAGTCGGTCAAGTCTTTTCTCTTTTTCTATTTCTTGTTCAAGAGCCAACTCTTTTGCTTTTTGCTTTGCCTCATTGTGCAATTTTAACTGTTGCTCACGATACTTAACCCTGGAAAGCAAAAGAAATAAAATCAATATAAAGTAAAAATAAAACTGGGTATGGTGTAGGCAATCTGAAGCATCACCATACACTGTAAAAACACACATGTAAATAGCACTATGATAAATTATAAATTCTATTTCACTTTTAAACACAATAATATTTTTATTTACTGTAAAATTATTTCTATTATTTTTAAGTTACCTATAAAACACTTATGTTAATTTATAAAATTGAAATAATATACTTTTTGAGTTTGAACACCCCTAAGAATGATCACTAACAATAACATTTCAAAATATTTCTTGCTGCAAATTTAATTCCCGAATAAATGATAAATATTGAAACAGTGTTCTCCCAAAATTTTAGCTTAGCCTAAAGGGACCATTCCTGGCCGGTAAGGCAAAAAATATGTACCAGAGGGGCACTTTTTTGTGGGGAGGGGGCAGTGGAGTGAGGGACATGGCTTTGACCTCAATGTGTAATTTACCCGCTACATTCCCTGAAATGTCATTCATCCCCTCATTTTACAACCTATTTTACATTTAAAATGTTTGATTCCAATAATTTTACTCTGTCTTACACTTCCATATATTCATTCATTACCTTGATCAGATCGGATCACATGCAACTTGTGAATTTTTTAAAACAACTTAATATTTAATTTTACTAAACCTTCAAGCGGTTGCAGGCAGTAAGAAGTGTTGCTTCAGACAGTAAATTTTACTGGTTACTGCCCGATAAGGAGAACATGTACTGTTCACATGTAGAATATAAAGCTAAGTTGTTCTAGCTTGTATACAGAGCCAGATATTTCTTCTTCTCCTGAAAGGCTTGATCACGACAATGTTATAACTTCATAAATACAGTTGAACCTCCATTAAGCGGCCTCCTTCAGGATACTGGTCAGGAAGTAGCCGCTTAATGGAGGTTGGCCGCTCAATACAGGTTCATCATAAATCAGCATAATCTTAAGCAGAAACATCGCTTTATTTCTTAAACAAATGTGCAACAAAAGAAGCATTATAATATTATTGGTCCACAGTCAATCAGCACCTTCTATCTCAGACTGTATTTTCGTTCATCATGTTCTTAAAATGAAGCTAAACTAAGACGTGAATCAAGGGCTTGATGGCCACTTAATACTGGTGGCAACAATGTATGAACTTTCATTGAGATGGCCTAAAAGGTGCTGCAGTTGTTTAATAGAGGTGGCTGCTTAGTAGAGGTTTAATTTCCAATTTTTCCTACAATATTTTTTTTGGACTTTGATTATATCACTGGCCATTTAATAGAGGATGGCCGCTAATTAATAGGGGGCTGTAATAAATATGTTGTAACTTGTTGAATTATTAGTCAGTACCTTTCATGGTCTATGATTGCCTGCTTTGCCATTTTTTCCTGTATTTCTGCAAGTCTCTCTCTTTCTGCCTCAGCTGAAATTTCTCTTTCCTTTTCTTTCTGTTCCCTAAATTCTTGGATCTATCGATGGATTAATAATCGTATATAAAAAACATGTCAGTGCAATCCACACATATCCATTTTTGTTTGAAAATGGAGATTTTTCCCTTCAATTTGGCCTAAACTGTCCACATATATCCAATAAAAATGGTCAATGAAAATGCATCTTTTCAAAAACACTCTCCAGAGAGAAGATTTTTAAAACACCTTTTGCTGTACTCTGAGACTTGAGTGATGGATGAAAATGGTGTATTGTCTAAAGTATAAAAGAAAATAAAGTCCTCATAATTTCTTTGAAAGGCTGTAATATGATAGAGTATTAAAAACAATATATTTTGAACCTCAAAGAAGAACCAATAGATTGCATCAAATCAGTGCTTCTATTATTTATGTTTTAAAAAAGAAAACAAAGAGAATTAAGTCATACTTGTTTGTGTTGATGATCTCTCCGTTTCCGTTCTCTCTCTTCAGCAGCTCTCAATGCCTGCTCTTCCTGTTCTTGCTGTTTTGCAGCAATTATGGTTTGTAGCTTCAGTGCCTCAAGCTTTTGTTCTCTGAATGCAAGCACCTCAGAACAAAAGAAAATTAAACTACGTTAATTTACATAATTATATGCCAACTGTGCCAGATTATCCCAGAGTGTCAGTGTCATGGCGGGGCCGGAAAAGGAAGGAGAGCTTGCAACTATGTCTCGATGCAAAATGCTGATTGGCAGAGATGACATTTCATATAAGTAATGACGTCATTACTCTTGGCACGTGTTTTTCAATGTTTGTTTACATTTGCGCTCGTTTCTGCCTCTCGCTGATTGGCAGAAAACTGACAGCTCAGTCGATGGGGAGCCACAGGAAAATTGGAGGTGGAATTCAAATTCCAGAGACATAGACTTTGTAAGCTCCACTGTATAACTATTAAAACATAGAGGATGGGTGCAGTTGGATTTGACTGATGCATAACCATATAATTTAGGGACTGGGTCCAATTGTGTGATTTGTGTTTATTGGGGGGGGGGTGGGTGGCTGGGTCATTAATATTTTGTGGAGGCGTTAATGCAAAAGAGATTCAATATTCAGTTCGTAGTCTCCAGATGTTGGCACCTCTGCTGCTACTATTAATAGCACCTGGTACAAGTGTGGGAAATGGAAGAGACAAATTAAGATTCTACATATACTTTATACAGAATAATATTTAAGACTGAGGTTTCCCCACTCCAGGTGAGAAAAAAGCCAGATCTTAAATGATTATGGACCAGTTATGATCATGGAAAATGTCTGAAATGGTCACTTTTTCATAAGAATTAAATCCGCTAGATAATTTAACCTAATGAAACCTCTTCATTACATCTTTCCCCAGATGTGAAAGTTTTACCTTTTTGTAGAGCTCTTGGCATATGTTTTCTTGTTTCTTTCTTGATTTAGCTTTTTCTTCTGCCTCTTCATAAGCTGCCCATGCATCAGCAAAAGTTGCCTTGGTTTTAACCAGCAAGTCTTCTCTGTCATGAGCCCAGGCACGAAGTGTGCTGTGAAACTGCTCCTGGTAAAACTTGTGAGCAAGCAACCACTCTTCATGTTCAACCTGAAATTATATCATAGTACAAGCGCAGAGCAATCACACTAAACTGTATTCTGGGGCAGATCTAGGGTTGGTTGTCGGGGGCTTCAGTAATGTTGAACCCCCAAGCAGAAAATTCCTAACATAGTAAAACCTATAAAAATGGGGAAGTAAAGCCAAAAAATATATAGTAAAACCTGGGGACTTATCATTGGATGAAACTAAATTAATGTATTTCCAGAAATTTGTTGATTGCCGGTAAACCGAAAGACCAGTAGTCAATTACTAGCTATAGAATTACAATACCATTTAATATATAAAAAGTCATAATTTTCAGAGCAAAACATAGCCTGCTATAAATAATGGGTCATCAAATTTCTTTAAATGCTGGACTTACCAGCTTAGTGCGAGTTTTATGAGGCATTTCTCTTAGCATTCTGTCCATGTAAAGCATTCTTCTGTTAGGCAGCTCAGCTGGGTACTGTTCTATCAAATGCACAAAGTGGAAATGATCTTGTTTTGACCATCCTCCTGTATTGGACCTCACAAACAAAACAATCAAGACATAAGCTCTTGTACATGTTACAGGTCAAATAACCCAGGTTGATTTGCAATTCCCTTTGTCTTCTAGCCCAAATTCACAGTGAATAATTAGGGCTAGAAGACAAATAGAGCAAATAGAGAATCAACATAGGTTAAAAAAAATTTAACCTGAATTTAACTTTGACCTGTGACATACACATTCAAGTACAATAACCCTTTAAATCCCAAGATTGACCAAAATCAATATTTTCCTCACAAGATTATCAATGCATAATCCAATAATTAAAAGAACACCTCGGTGAAAATGCTTTGATGCATGTTTAAACAAAAATTAATTCTCTCAACTAGTTCTTCATTAATATGTTTGGAGATCAGTATGGAGAATTTGTATATGGATATTGGAGCTTAGTGAGTTAATTAAGTGTTAGATCAATGGATGAGAAGTCTCTAGGACTAACAGTAAGTAACCATCATTCATATACCAGCTGGGAATTGAAGCAGGGTTAGCTGCAGTATCCTTATTTATATTACTTGAACCTCCATCTGACATTTGGCTTGTCAGTAACAACAGAACCTAACTTAAAACTAAATTCAAATCTATACTGTAGATAAAATTCAGCAGTCATTGCTTATGTATGCTAGATCAGCGTGCAAAGAAAGTCATGTCTGATAGCCCGGGGCTAATGGATTTTGCTATCGGGCTAGTGATTTTTAAATTGCCCGACGGCCACCAAGTGCTGTTTTTTGGGGAAATTCAAATTACAGAAGGATTGTCATCAACCCTTATAATCAAAAAGGGTTTTGGGGCTAGTTGAAATGACTTGTGGGCTAGTACATACTAGCTACAGCTTGCCTGAATGGCAGGCTGTAAAACTGACTTTCTTTGCACCCTATAGATACAGTATATTGAATAGTATCTATTCATTTTTGGCACCAAGTAAAACATTAATTTTTGACAAAGCTCTTCAGTTAATGTCTTTTTCCTCTAGTCAGGAAACCATCAGCTTTAATTAATTTTCCCAAGGCTTTCATTGGGAGAAAGGACTGATTGTAGGAGAAACATAAAAACTACAATGTATTTTTCATTCTGAATCACGTACCTAGTCATTAGACTTAAGTGTATAAATTTTGCTTTTGAGACAAAAGGTTCTACTACTTGGATGAAACCTATAAGTCAAGAATGACTGTTAGAAGCAAAGGTAAGGTGTACCAAATTCATCATAAATTAAAAGAAAATTAAAAACACTGTCTCGAGTCCTTTGAAAATGTACTTACTGCTTTGCATACTGATACTTGATATTTAGATATTCTAGCTGAGCTTCATATTTATTGTCCAGCAAAATAAACTCCTCTAACACAGACATCTTCAGTTGTTGATCAGGGCACTCTAGTTCATATGCTTCTTCTGGAATCCCTGTCTCTGTGATGACGTTAGACACCACACCTGACCCTGTCATTTCAGGCAACACTATGGCATCTAGTTCCTGTTCAAGCTGTTCTTGTTCCATCTGCAATTTTTCCATTACAACTCGTTGTTGCATCTTCACAGATTCTACAATCTTCAAGACATTTGCATGTTCTTCTTCAGCAACACCTAGAATCAAATGAAATATAATATGATAATATTGAAATGTTGTGTAATTCTCGCTAATTTTTTTGTATTATTTTGTGTCAGGGTGGTGTTATTCTTTCCGTTAAATTCAGTTTTTTCTTATTTAAAAATGTAGTTACCACACAATTTTCTAGAAAAATGTATGGCTGTAGGACACATTGGGGGTTAAATTAAATTATCTTGAGTATGCCAATCCACATTGCTGTCCCTGTGGTGAGGACGGATGGGTGTATCACAGTATGGCCAAATATATTCAGCTGAATGCCTGGATACCAAATTTTGTTACCCGTGGTATTCTGCATGGACTTATACAAAGAGCTTTACAGAGCTTTGCTATGATAAAAAGCATAATGATTCATGTCTTCTAATTAGCACCACACTGGATAGTAATCTACAGAGTAGAATACCGATTTTTCAAAACTTGTGATAATTCAAACCATAGCAGTTACTTCACTTGTCAAACAGTATAATCTTACCCCCAATTTTTGAGCTTCACGTTAAATATTCTAACCAATTTCCTTTTTCCAAAAAGGTTTGAAAAATTGGGAATCCACTGTATAATCTATAATAAAAGAGTTTGACAATGTTTTTATCAGATATTCAATGAATGTTGTCAGTCCTTCAAGTCCGAAAAAGGAACTAATTATCTCCCTGTTATACATTGTACATGCAAACAATGAGTCAGTTGAATTTAGGAAAATAATGATCACCACCAAAATTATTAGGAAAAAAAATACATGTAAATCCCTGAGTTAAATGAAATGTTTTGTCTTTAATAACTCAAGGATTTAAAGACCTAAAAAATGAAAACTTGTGAACCAACCCATCAAGATCCTGTCTCTGTTTTCTCCAAGCCAGAACTGCAAGTCTTCTTTAAGGTCCCACAATGGTTGTATAGTGTTTTTCTTAAATTCTTGAGTATCTTCATTTAAAATTTCTTCATTAATTTCCAGATCTTGGAAAAATTCTTTTATTGAACTGTAATCTAATGGACTGCCAGGTCTCAGTGCATCAATGTCACTTTGAAGTTTCCGCTGTAAACTATGAAGTCTTAATTTCTCCTTTGACCAGCAAGCTTGATGTTGTTGCAAGAGGTTCTGTTCTTTTTTCTCCTTGCTGGCTTTTGTAATCTTTTCAATCTTGTGAAATGTTTTATTTCCAGCGGCTTTCTTAAGTTGTGCAATGGCCTGGAGTTTGTCATAATCAGCTGGCCTGTATCGGTTGCTCCCGTGTCCTTCTATAAAACGATTGACCAATGAACTATCTAAAAACAAAACAGAAAACCAGCATCAAAGTCAAAGTTCTGAATTTTTGTTGTTCAGTCATTTCCTTATCTACATTGTACAAACATTCTTGTGGTTATTCCCTGGGTGGTGGGCAGAGGACGGGGGCGTATCGCCATACATGTTTTATGGGCTATTATACTGGTGCATGCACATATTATGCTGGTCAGGTCGTTACGTTTGCGTCTTGCTGTCATTGTCGTAGATTGTCACCAGAGTTTTTCTGCTCCCTACCCATCCCTCCCCTATGGTAAGTATATGGTAAGTATGATAGGTTCCACTGATTAGCAGTGTGACGTTGCCTGGGTGGACACCACTCTCATGGTTGTCAAGGTTATCCATTACGCATTGCACTCAGCTGCAGTCCTTGGTTCCACTGGCCTCTCACACAACTCTCCCCACACCCATCTTTGTGGATGAGTTCAACAAGCAGTTTAGTCGGGGATACGGCATAGAAATCAGAGAGTTTGGGTCTAGAATAGGGTATCATTTTCCAGGAAAGTAAACAATAGACCTCATTCCTAATACCTGCCATCTTGGCACATACTTAAGGACTGATTGAATAATAGTGATGTCAAGTGGTTTCTCGGGGTCAAGCAAATGACAAAATCTGCTAACACTAGAAATCCCAGTCGAATTTGTTTATTCTAGACTGTAAGAGAAAGTGAAGGACTTTTTATCTTAAAGAGGATAGTGACAAATTATGGATGGAAGTGATCATTGTTACTTGTTTTGAAGTGGTTATACACGTTAGCAACCATAATTGTCCCCATAGCAAGCAACAATGCCGTGAAACTTATCAAAACTCAAGCTGTAAATTTTGCATGACAAATTGTCGTCTTGTTTTGAGAAATAATTAACAAACTCAACCCCAACTGCTCGTACTGGCAAACTTTATCACTAGTTTGCCCCATGAAATATCCCGTGCAAAGATAGTGGGTACCATGAATGAGGTCTACTGGTAAAAGATTTCAGTCTAGACTGGGAAAGTCAGGAAAAAGTTAATTATTGGCCCTTAAAAATAATGAAATTGGCAGATCTAAATTTAAATTTACCTCCAACTCAGCTTAATAGCAAAGAAAGCATTGATAGATGGAAAACTCTGTTATAGGAGGGATTTTGTTAGTTAAGCCTAGTATAGGGTAGCAAAATTTGGCTGATTAAATGGATCTGTTATTAAATAATAGGCTAAGGGTTCCGGGCTCCCAGTGGCACATCCCCAATCAAAAATTCCTAAAGTTCCTCTTCCAGGTGATTATCTTGTTCTGTTTGGCTTGCCTCAAACTATTTTAACAAAAAAGAGAGGTCAAAGTAACCATTCCAAATTTGATTTACATTTTAGCTTTTGAAAAAAGCATTTACTGGTATAACTTGGGAAACTTTGCCAAAATTGTAAGAGCATGATAATGAGAAAGCAAAGACTGATATCGAACTATAAATTAAGGAGCCTTTTATAAGTACAAAGGAACACGGTTAATAAAGACACCAAGCTAAGGTACATGCCATGGTCTCTGTATTCATCCATGTGTCTGGGTTCTAAGAGAAAAGGTCATGGACACATGTTTTATTGGTACAAAAACTAAAAAAGGCAAAGAGGAAGAAGGGTATAAAAACAACTAGGAACAATGACTAAAGGAACAAGTCAAGGAAGCAAAACAACGAAAATAGACAGTGTGCAGGTAACCTGAGATCAGGCCCAATTTTAGCGGTTCTCATACATTCTCTCTAACGGCTACCGCTAAAATTGGGCCTGATACAAACTCTCTCACGTTTGTGCTTGTTACGGCCAGATTTTGGCCGTAACGCTGATTGGCTGTTAGAACAATGCCACAAGATCTGATTGGCTGTCGGAAACGCCGGAAGTTGAAAGCGCTTATTCCTCGAGTGGTTGTTTTCATGAATGATCTGTTGTCGGCGGAGAAAAGGATCGATTTTGCTGTCTTTTTTTTTTGTTTTATGGTCTTATGGTAGGAAAATATGCCTTAATATGTGCCATGGAAATTCAGAAAATTCATATGGTTGTTCATATCTTCTCAGGATTTGCTTTATGGAACTGATGTGAGTGTATCGCGGAGTTGAATCCCTCTGCAAGTTGTTGACCGCTAACAAGGTGCCTTTTGATTTACCAACAAACGAGTGTAAATCAAAATACTGTCCATCTTAAAACTGGTTTCATTTGAAAGTTTAGCCGGGAATGACTTCTCTGAATGGGGTACGCAAGTGGAGGCTCACTGCTAAAGAAAGCTCAACCGCCAACTGTGAAGTATTAGACGAAAAATATCGCATTGCTGTTCAAGGAATTTTTGTAAGGTTCATTATTATAAAAGCTGGTGGCTTAAGGTAACAGACTGGCTGTTTGCCTTTGCTTTTTGTCAAAAATAAACCAGGGAAACTGGTGTCCTCGCTCATTGGCTGTTTACTTTTGTTTTTAAAGATTTATGTACTGAAAATCGGGGAAAATTGCCAAGGAAAATATTAAGGCAACAGAAAAATAGAAATTTCAGTATTTTAAATTCGAGTGCACCTAGCCAAAATAATAAAACTAGTAGAACATCGTGTCGCTGTCTTTTCGAAAACTTTTTACCTTTTATAGTCAGGAAGCACTGTCACGCAGGGCGCTCATTTTTCATTTTCGCTAAACATTTTGAGTAGAAGCAGGCAACATGGCTTAAAATCTTCATCTTGCCATCCTGATTAAGAATTGTGCCGTTGCCCACTCCAAATGTTATGACATCAGTCATTAAGCGGGTTTTTTGTCTAGGCCCTCGCTCCTGCAGCATGAAAACGAGGCTGAATTGTAACATTTATATAAATCCAATAAAAAGTGCACAATACGATGGGGAAATAGCTGAATCTTTGCTACTTGACGTTTAGAGCTCGATAGACAGTAGTGTGGGAGATAAAATGTGTCACGTCATCAGTTATGAAGAGTCACGTGACTTTCCAATAAAATCGATTTTAAAGCATAAAAGATGCTCTATTCACACTTTCCTTTAACATAGTTTTTAACTTACCGACGTTTCTCATTTCGATTCACACATCCAACAATAAAAACACAAAAATTGCAATAGGTGATCAGCTATGATGGGTCACGTGACTAGATAACAACAATTGAATAGATACTGAATTAGCCTTAGCTGTGTAAATAGCGTGATTGATCAATTGTTTTAGTAAGCTCTTCAGGAGTTATTTTCTATAAGAAATTTTAAAAAAACTATGTTTCATGGGGTTAATATGCACTTCAATCTGTCGGAAACATTGGCCACTAAGTTTACGACTGGGAACGACGATGATGCATTAGTAGATGCCCTGACTAGCAGTGAGCTTGTTAATGAAGTTGGACAAGCTGCACATATCATCAAAGCTTTTGATGCCACACATCATGACAACCCCTCATTCTCTTACTGGAGACAATACATGAAACTGGTGTCCATCTTACTGAGGTTTTCGCGTGTGATCCGGGAAGGGAAGTGGGATCTGTATCTCTCTTCGTTCTCCGAAATGCGTTGAAACCAGGCTAATCAAGAAAGAAATAAAGTTCCATGACACTCTAAAGCAACAGAAGGTGAAAACCTTTGAGACACTTTACACTGTACCAGTGTCAGTTGATAAGAGCAAGACCATCGCCATGAAAGCAGACAAAGATCTCTTGAGAAGAGTGATAGTATCCTTGGAATCCGGTCGTGATGTAGATGTGAACACGTTGCTTCAAAGCGAGCTTGCTCCAGTCCCAAACTCACTTGCTACCCTTGACGGGAGTCTACGAGAAGCATGGAAGTCGGATCTTGGTACCATTTTACAAGGAAATGTCTGTAAGAGCCAAATGCCCATCAGCAGGAGTCAAACATGTACTATTATTGATGGAATGGCAGCTGTTCAGCCCCTCGCCAACTCTTCAGGAGTAAAAACCTTTGGGGAGTAGAGTGACCGATTTCTTCGTCATGTCACTTCCCATTTTCCGGACAGTTGTACAAGGGCTGACGTGCTATTTGACAGATATGCCAAGAACTCAATAAAAGGAGGAACCAGAGACAAGCGCAAGGAGAAAAAGAGCACAGGGATTAGGCGCAATGTGGATAACAGAGATCATAGAATTGGAAACTGGGAAAGGTTCATCATTCTAGAAGATAACAAGGCTAGGCTAGCTCATTTCCTCTCGACTGAAATCTCGGAGAGTTATAGCGCGCCTCCTGGGCGAGAGCTGGTGATCAATGGAGGCTTCAAGGATACACTGAAGGTGTGGTCATCTAACACGTTACGACAAGATATAAGAGAGCTCGCATCAGATCATGAGGAGGCAGATACTAGAATAGTACTGCATGCCCGAGACGCAGCAGCAAGAGGGTACAAGCAAGTCAACATTTTGTGTCGTGATACGGACGTTCTTGTCCTCCTTTTGGCACACCGAGAGCAGCTTTGTCAATAGATATGGATGTTTGCGGGTACTTCAAGACAAAGGCGTTACATACCAGTTCACAGAATCCCGCTCTCCGAGGAGAAGAGGAGGTCGCTTCTGGCATTTCATGCCGTTACTGGCTGTGATACGACAAGCCAGTTCTATTGTGTGGGCAAGCTAAGGCATCGGCATGGAAAGTCTTCGAAGATGCACCTGACCTCTTGGAACACCATGGAGAAGAAAGCCAAATCAGTGCTGACGTTCTTGCCAAAGCTGAAGCCTTTGTATGCAAACTCTACAATCCGGGAACACCAGAGGTGGAAATCAACAAAGAAAGAGCAGCAGCGTTTCGCAAATCCAGGAAAGATCTCGACGCCCTACCTCCGACTCAAGATGCACTGATTCTCCACATAAAGCGGGCAAACTATCAGACCATGGTATGGAATAAAGTGCTGGAACCATGTCCTTCTCTCCCAAAGCCTGAAGACAGCGGATGGTACTACAGTGAAGGCCTTCTGAAGCCAAAGTTAATGACGCGAGAAGTGTCAGCGGCGTGTTTACAGTTAGCATACTGTGGGTGCTCCCGAGAAGGTGGATGCTGTGTAAACCGACGCTGCACTTGCGTTCAACTATCTCTTTGCAGTTCCAAGGCATGTAAATGTGGCGAAAGGTGCAGAAACGACAGGAACACTGTCGCAGAGGCGAATGAAGCATGACCTATAACTTTGATAAGGTGGGAGTCACATGCTGGTCTTGTGTAATATAAGATACTTTGCTTATGGTTTATAAGCTTGTATTTCTGGCTTAAACCGTGCGGCCAAGTAGAAGAAAGTTCAGTCTTTTTACATAAAAAATCCTAACTCATGGGAAATTTTACATAGGTTGGAAACGCTATAGAATGACTGAAAATAGAATGATTTCATTACACCACGTGACCCATCATAGCAGATCACCTATTGCATTTTTGTGTTTTTATCGTTGGATGTGTAAATCGAAATGAGAAACGTCAGTAAGTTGAAAACTATATTAAAGGAGAGTGTGAATAGAGCATCTTTTATACTTTAAAATCGATTTTTTTGGAAAGTCACGTGACTCTTCATAACTGATCACATGACACATTTTAGCTCCCACACTACTGTCTATCGAGTTCTAAACGTCAAGTAGCAAATATGCAGCTATTTCCCCATCGTATTGTGCACTTTTTATTGGGTTTATATAAATGTTACAGTTCAGCCTCGTTTTCATGCTGCAGGAGCGAGGGCCTAGACAAAAAACCCGCTTAATGACAGATATCATAACATTTGGAGTGGGCAACAGCCCAATTCTTAATCAGGATGGCAAGACTTTAAGCTATGTTGCCTGCTTCTACTCAAAAGATTTTAAGCTATGTTGCCTGCTTCTACTCAAAATGTTTAGCGAAAATCGTTTTTTGGCGAGCTGCCTCCTGACTATTACGCCAACAGAAATAACCTTCGAGATCTCCCTTAATCTCGCAAGGAATTAAATGTGATTGTGCTGACTGTTTTATTTTTAGCTGAAAAAATTAACAGACAAAAGCTATTTTTTAAGTCAGCCAGTCTGCATTTTTCCCACGCGTGAAAAATTTGCATGCTAGAAAAACAAGCAACGGAAGTAATTTTGGTTGGCTGATTCGGCAAATGTCAATCAATAAAAAAAGTGGGCGGCAGACGTTTTGTAGAAGGTTTGTATCAGGCTCTCTTTTTGTTTCACCTTGCCCCCCGGAATGTAATTTTCAAAGTGAAACGAAAATAGAGCCTGATCTCAGGTTAGTGTGCAGGTAACCAGTGTCTGTATTAAAAGCAAGGTTGAGGATATATGAGAGTTTGTCACATGGGACACAGAAAAGTATCCATTGTCTGTATTAACCAGTGTCCATATTAAGTGGGTTAATTTTAAACAAAATATAGAAGCTTTTCGTCAAGACAAATGAAACTGTCTATTGTATACAGATGTCCATATCAAGTGCGTGTCCAAAGAGGGCTTCCTGTTCTAGGGTATTATTTTAATATTATTGGAGTAAGCATTTTTCCAGGGTTCCAACCCTAGTAACCAAAGTTGAATACTGCATTACAACTTCACACCGATTTAAATGTGTATTTCAGAAATGGGCATAACCGCTGGATTTTGTACCCTGAAGGCTCAATTTGTTCCTCCGGACTTTCCCTTCGAGAGTGCTTGTTTTGACTCACTTCAAATAAGGTGAGATTTTATGGCGGAAGACTCAGAAGCGAATTCAAAGGAATTGAACAATGCCTTAATATTTTCCTTATTGCGTTAAAAGTTTATGGATTTAAGTCTTTTGCAAAACTTCTTCGACTTGGATACATATTTTTCAAAAAGGAGAGTTTTGAGAGCTTCAAAAAGAAGAAATTTCGACCACTGTGGACCGAGATTGGATTTTTTTCTTGCCGAGGTTTCGAAGTACAAAGCAAGCTGCCAAAGCACTTTTTCTCGCCTATGACTTAATAAAAACCGGCCGAGAGTTATCCATTCATTCAATCATAACAGTTATTCATTTCTCCAGAGCACTCAAACTATACAAGCGTTTCTACAAAATTATTTCACGGAATTATGAACTCCGCAAGTTTTGATCTGTTGATTACAGCTCTTGTTTTGACTTTAGATATTTCCTGTCTCACTTGACTACTCCGTGAATCAAGTTGTTATGCAAATCAGTGAACTGACAATACACAGTTATTTCGGGCCCAGCAGTCACGTAACTGAAACGCAAGGTTTTGTTCAACAAGAAAAACTGAAAGGCAAGCGAAAACGTCCAAAAAAGTGAAATTACACTCTAATAAATCTGTGTCATCCCGTTAAATGCATTCACCGCTTGCGTTGTTTACATTTTGAAGAGAGTTGTTCACTCTTGATTGCAGAGCACAGGTTTTGATAATACTGAATGAATAAAAAGTTCCAACAAATACCTTCTGCAGCAATTCTTTAAACGCCAAATTATTTTCATGCAAGGGAGTATTTAATAAAAAAATACTATAGGAGACCAGGTATTTATAAGCTTTAATCAACTTCAAATTTATCAGGCTTGTTTCCTTTGTAATACGGTGCGTGACCGAAAATATGTTATGCAACCAGAGTTGTCCGCCACGCTTAAAAGACTTGTAAGCATTCCCACAGACTGCAGCAAATTTAACAGGCAAGTCCGAGTATTTTAATGGATAAATTTAATACTCATCAAGTAACAATGGGGATAAAAAGTCAATCAACCTAAATCAAAGGAATTCCGCTCGTGGATTCTTCAGAAGGTAATCGACAATGGCAAGAACAATAGTCTGAATATATGAATACTTGATGACCCCAACATTTGGGGTACACACTTAAATCGGCATGAAGTTGTAATGGGTTTAACCTGAGAAGGCATTATATACTATACCACCAGCCGACAGTGTAATACATGATTCAATTTGATGTGTTACCAGAATGTCCCAATCTGCATGCCCGGGGTTGGGGGTAAATCACCAGGAAAGAAAAAAATTGCAAATGCCCGGGGGGCCATGGTAACAGGTCAAATTGAACCATGCATAATCAACTCTCTTCAATTAAGCAACAAAAAAGAATATTTATAAAAAACCCCATGTCACTGCCCTTGACTTTTGTCGAATCAGAATACACATTAAGCTCAATAGGTCGATCTTGCAAGAAACCAGGACAAATTATTTATGTCACCTGAATAAAGCTATTGAATGAGTGCGTTGAAAGTGAAGATTTTTCTATAGTTCTCTACTGACTAACTGAATTTACAATCTAATTATTCATACCTGAGGCTCCGATTGCAGTTCTGTGGAAGTTCACGAACTTCCTAAGATCTCTTCCACTCATCCAAGCAAGAAAAAGTAAGCTACATTATTAGATTTTGACATTGACAACCACCGCGGAAAGTATCAACAACTTCACCCAGGCGCCATTTTGAAAGACACCTCTCAACCTCGTTTTCGCGGGATTCTGGGCCTCGTTCTCATAATTTTCAAGATGGCGTCCGGCAGAAGCAAGAAATCGAAGCGATCACAAAGCCCAGGTTCGGCCGTTCCACCCGCCCCGAGCAAAAGAAAGAGACCACTTACTGTAAGTAAATTGATGAAGCAAAGGTTTCTTTGGGGTTTAGTTTAACAGTCCTTTTGTTTTTAGCCCTGTGTTGCCGATGAAGTGGAATCAAATTCGAGCAGTCGAAGCAGTCCTTCCTCGTACAGTGTTGTAAGCGAAGCAAGTGTTGTTCCTCCTGGTCAGTTCGTCTTTAAAGATACTAATTTCGAAGTAAGTTTTATTTTTGATTTTTTTATGTTTTCACTTGCTGCTTGGTTTTAGAACTCAGCTGGTGTTAATTTATATAAAAATGTAATAGACCCATTCATGATCACGGTTGTAACGGCATGATGGGTAGTTAGGACAAGATGGTGGGAAAATCAAAAGTTTGTATGGGAATTAAAGTCAACTAATTCTTGCTAATTGAATATATTTGTTCCTTTTCCTTTGAAAAATGTAAATAATCAACTTAAAGAAACTACACACTAAATTTGGAGTGCATAGCAGTCCTTTGTTGCTTTTTTAGAAGACCTGAGTTCTTCCATACGTTTCCTGTAATCCAACAACACAAGAATTGCACAAGTCACAACGAATGGAAAAGTTAAATTTTCTAAGAAGCAACAAAGGACTTCTGTGCTCCCCACATTTAATGGCTCAGTCAATTCGAAGCATGCCCCCGGCATTTGTCATTTTGTTTTGGAAAAGCTGCAAATGCTCCACGGTGGGGCTTAAAGTAGGGTGCAATAATTGTACAATAATTGTACAATAATTGCCCCACCTGGGACAACACCAAAATTGCATTTTCCAGTAAATAAGCTGCAAATACCATATTTATGAGAAATCTCTAATAATCTGACCACACTCGTACTTGAAGTTCACTACACAAATCGCTCCTAGCTGCTAGTTGTAATAATTATAACTAGTGGCTAGTTATAATAATTATAACTAGCAGCTAGAAGCGATTTGTGTAGTGTACTTAATGATAATAATTATTAATAATCATAATGATTTATTATTAGTGTAATAATTATTATTGCAAATAAGTTAACAATGATCTGATTTAAAATCTCAATGGCAGAACTATAAATTAGAATTTTACTAATACCTTTCTTATTTTCAAAGATGTTTAATCTGGTGAATAAACAAACAACCGAGTGCTTTACATGGGTATTTTCTCATCATGATCGAACCGTTGAATTGTCACATTGATTGTACAATACACGAAGTTTGTATTAGTGTATCTCACAGAGTTTTTCTAGGCGTTTCTACCTCGACAATTCACTTGCAAAGAAAGGGTATTTTCCTTTAAACTCTTTAAAGGGACTGTGTCACCATAGTGCGCATGTGTGAGCTGTGACAGTAACTGATTGTCTTTGAACCAATCGGAATCGAGTAAGATGCAAGCGAGGAAATTTACGTAATTTAAGACTCATTGTTCGCGAAGCGGGAGTCTTCGGGACGTTTATGTTCTATTTTATATATCCCCATAATTCATATTTATTCTCTGGTATTCCTCAGATAAATGTTGCAGATGATAAGAATAAGATTAACAACCCTGTCCTGCTTTGAAACAAACATTTACCTACGTGTATTTTTACGTACCCACGCTAGAAAACCAGTCTCCAATCCGCAAACAAAAATAATTTGTGAACAAACCTTACTGATCTCTCTGTTTACCCTATATAAACTTAGAAATACCTGCAAGTAGCTCCTGACCGGTGATCAAAACACACAGTATAGGATGAGGCAAACGTTTTGCTTAAAATGCCAGTTAAATGTGTGCTATAATAAAATAAGCCATGCCATGCGATTGGCTAGCGGGATGAGCACTCTGCATGAACACTGTAGCTCAGTCGATTGATACCGGCTGAAAATCTTAGCAGTGTTTGAAAGCAATTCTTAGCGCTTTATCATAAAACGCCTTCATTGCAATAGCAGCCACATAACGTATAAGTATAAAGATTATTCTAAAAGAATAACGCAATAAAAGGCATAAACAGGAGCCCATGCACTATGGCATAAATTTCAACTGCTTATCAGTAAATAAAAAAATACCTTCCGAGTTGTTGCATTGGGTGTTCCGCAAAACAAACGTTATCGATTCAACACATCAAGAAATCAGATGTTAAACAGAACATTCAGAGAAGAATTTATTTTTAAAAGATCAATTCTTAAAGATCTAGGCTCATACAGAAAAGATACAAGGAACATTTCCAGTGAACTACATCAGTAAAGATCGCGCGGCCTGTTGTCAGTACTTTCCGCTATACAACTACGGATCAGAGTCATAAATCGAATACCTGTTAAAACATTTCATGTTCGATGGATTGTTTCCTCAAACCTCACACGACTTCCTGTACAACAAAAGATTGCTGGGTTTTCTCCTTCTGATTCCAGGCACGCGATAAATTAAATTGTTGCAGACGATCGGAAGTCATGTAGCAGATCAGCTGCACTCGCCGCTGCGCCCGGGGGGGGTACTGCCATATATGGGCTATATGGGTATGTGCCGCTGTGAAGGGTATGGTTTTCAAGCAGTTTACTCTAGGATAGGGTATATAAATCAGAGCGTTTGGGTCTAGAATAGGGTATCATTTTTCAGAAAACTGATCAGTTGGTTGAAGATTTTATCTAGACTGGGGAAACAGCTACTCTAGGATAGGGTGATTTTAGGAGTTTACTCTAGTATAGGGTAGCAAAATTCAGCTGAACTAGCTCTGGTATAGGTCAAGGATTCCAGGGTCCCAGCGGCACATCCCCACCCAGAAATTCCTAAAGTGCCCCCCCCCGGGCCGCTGCGTGCCATTAGTAGTCCACAGCTGTATCGAGGAAACCCTTTTTAACTCTCTTTACATATTTATTGTTTAAAAAATATCCGTCAAAGGAAGATCGTTGACTGGAGAACCTTAATAGACAGAAATGAAAGCCAGATGACCACATTAAAGGCCACATTTGATCCGTTTGTAGGAACACTGACAGCAATGAACTTGGCTTCGTACGGTTCTCCTCAATGACTTCGAATTTTCTCAACAATACTTGCACAAAAATACAAAATATGGCGTTTAAAACTTCCCAAATGGACCAAATAGCTCTTGAATACTGATATTATGGCTTTCTTGGGCATCTCAGGGTCGATGGAAGAGGATTTCTTCACCAAACGTCAATCTTGAAAAACTGTTCGCCGGAACAGAAATCACGTTGCCGCACATGCACAGAAGTGTGTCACAGTCCCTTTAAACGATATTAATGATTGTTTTTCTTCCATGTGCAAGTTGATCACATTGGCGGGAAGCAATTTCTTAGACAGATGCAAAAAATACCGTGGGGTGGGGAAGTGATGGAGCCAAAACCACACATAATCGTTTAAAAGCATAGGTATTAAAAATATTCTTCATAAAGCTATCTAAGTAAATAATAGGCTCGATTTCCGCCGTCTCCCGGGTCCGGTCTTTAATCCTCCCCGAAGAGAGACGGCTGGACGCGTGACCCGTTGACCTTGTCTGTGACATAATTGGAAAACTGATAATTTAGGCGTCTGCAATGTCACTGGAAGTGAAACCGGTCTCCAATTTTCTTATTTATTTGGCTTAAATTGCATCAAGAGCTCCCTTACCCACCCAAATGACTTTCGAAATAGCTTTTTTGGTACATTTTCATACATTGTGAAAAATATTCTTCAGTACATTTTTGTACATGGCAACATGTAGTTAATTTTCTTTGATCTTCGAATATTGGTTGCGTCTTCTGTGGGTCTAAACTGACTGATTCTCGGAATCGGATTAAATTAAATGGAAAAGTTTCTGATTTACCAGACAGAATTTCCAGTGTATTGAATGTTCCTCTGTCAAATATAAACGTGGGCGGTCAAATCTGTAACGAACGAGTTATCGAGACCTAAAGCGCCTTGAAAAGATCCTTGAAGATGCAAAATCTGTCCAACAACAATCATTAAAAGAAAAGTTCACAACAAACAATCGCACAAAACGTTGTGTTCCTTCCGACTCTAGAATTTCGCCTAGTGTCTCCGGGCCGTCGAAATCGCTTCGCCATGCGATGGATCAATGGAGGACTTTCTGTTTCTGCGACAATCTTTGCCAGATGAATATCTGCAGGCGGTAACATGATTGGCTTAAACCAACAAAAGAAATCGCACACGTCCAGCCGCTCTTTCGGGGGATGAGTGCGGGCTCATTTTCCCGAACAGCGGTTAAAGTTTGCAAAGAGAAAGTGACAAATGTATTCAATTTGGAAGAATTAGTTGACTTTGAATTCTCATACAAACTTTTGACTTCCCCTCCATCTTGTCCTATTACCCAGCATGCTTTCACAACCGTGAAGGGTCTATTAGTCAAAAGAAGTTAAAATATAAGCTTAAAAGTTGATAATTTTATTGAATTGAATGAGAGATGTACTTTTACGAAAACTATTTTAAAGGTTAATCAATGTTTAACTTTATTTCAAAATACAGCACTCAGGTGTCAATGCAGGCAAGAAAAAGATTTGGAAAAATTTAAAGCAAATTATGACGTTAGAGAGAGGGTTGCCGTGGAAACAAGATGATCCAACATGTAAGAACAGTTTTTTCTATTCCTAATATTGCTATCATGCGAGCGAACAAGGCAGCAGACCAAAACTGTGCAGGAACAAAAATTTTCGATTTCTACCCCTGATGCATCTGGATTTTTAACCATAGTGCATCGCAATTTTACCACAATGCCTTGCATGCCCATTTCTTTTGCTGGCATTTTGTTGCATTAGGTTTGTTGATTTTAGGAGGAGCCACCCACAATGTGAGCACAGTTACTAGCAATGCATATATGAGTACATTGTAGGAAAACAGTCCAAAGAAAATGTAGTGTTCATATTAAAAGTAACAACAATGATGATGATGATGATGATGATGATGATGATGATGAATGATGATACAGTTAAGCGACCAATCTTGGTGCACTTAAAGGAGTTGGTCGTCTATTGGAAAAATCAAGAAAATAAGCTCAAATTCAACTGATTAACATAATTTCTTGACAAGCAAAACTTAGGTAAATAGACAACTGGCAATAATCGTATTCATCATATATAGCACTTGGACTGTTGAAACTTTGTACATTACATTTTGCATCAATGTTAAAATTCACATTTTTACTTACAGAAATGTATTATCATAATCATATCATAGATAGTATCAGCCATCTCTTTTTGTAAGTCAACTGCTGTTATCTGTCAGCATACTTGATCAGCGCTATCAAAAACTGAGCTTTTGTGACATTTGAGCAATATTGTTTTCTTACAATCACATGTGGTCATGCCGTGTGGTCGCTTACAGGAAATAGAAAACAAAAGAATGTGCCAAATTTTTGGTTTAAAAAGTGGTTGTGGTTGTTAAGAAATTTTGGGATTGGCAGCTTACAAGAGAGTTTTTGAAACAGTATTTGAATGAGAAACAAAACTGTTATTTTCAAAGTGGCCACTTACGGGAGGTGGTCACATACAAGAAGTGGTCGTTATGAGAGACAGTTGACTGTAGTAGAGCTGCTGGTTGTGGTGGGGAAGGCAATGATTGTGGTGTTGATTGGTATGTTGATGGTGATAGTAGTTGTGGCAGTTATTGTTTTGGTGGCAGTGAGGGTGTTGAAAATTGTGGCAGTGCTGGTGTTAAAGCAGATGATGGTGAGAGTGATGACGATGACAATAGTTGACACTGTGCTGGTGACGTTGCTCAAAAAGGTGGTGGTGGTAATGCTGATAGTCATTATTATGATAATATTACTGTCGTATTGTTGTAATGATCTTTCATGAAGATGGTGTGAACTGCAGAAATCAAATTGAAATGAGGATATAATTGTCCCAGTTTTAATAGCAATTTAAGCGATAATTGCAATATATTAATTAACCTGAAAAAAATTTCAGGCTTTAATGGGATTTGAGCCCATGCCCTTGTTAAATTCCAAAACTTATTTCAGGTTAATTTGCAGTTTAATATCGCTTAAATTGTAATTACAACTGCGACAAGCGTATTTTCTTTTTGATTTTTTCTTGCCTCTTTTCTACCCTCTTGTCTGTTGTTTTTTATGTCTGTCCTCCTTTCTCATGGGCACCACATTTTTTGCTCCCTTTATTTCTCATGTGACCCAGGCAAGGAAGTTACTATGGTATCTGTATATTATTATCATTATTTTCATTTTTAATGTTATTAGTGTTTATGTTGTAGGTAATTTTTTATCTCAGTTAATTTTTATTTTTCTATTGTTTTTGGGTATGGTAATGTATGCTAATGAATTTGAAACAAAGGAAAAATAAAATTAACTGAAAATAAAAAATTAACTGCACCATTTACATGGAATGGTCTGTTCATTTTTACAGATAGCAGTGTAGATGCTCCACCCTCATTCAAACCGTCAAAGAAATATGCTGACCTTTCTGGTTTACCGGTGAGAGTTCTACCTTTTAATTATTTACCCTCTAAGCCTTAATACCCAGTCACATACAAATTCTCCAGACTAATCTTTGTACATTTCCTTTGAGGATAAGTTGGGAGAATTTGATAAAAGGTCAATGCATTTGTTAGTGAGCATTTAACCAGTTCTTATCTTTTGCCTTGATTACGTACTGATATTGTTTGGAGAAAATTGAAGTAGATCATGCTTGGGACCATTCATTAAATTTATTAAGAATTATCCTCTCTTTTTAAGGCAAAATACAAGGACCCAAGGACTGGAATACAATATAACAATTCAGATGAGTTTGGTTCAATTCGCAGCCTTCCAATGGATATTGTAAATGGCTACTTGGCATTACGAAAAGCAGCCCCTACCTAACTTTATATTCTCGGGTCTGTTAAATGTGTAAATAATCTTTGAAATGTTATCACGATTTCAAACAAAGTTATGTAAATAGTTTATTCAATTAAAATGAATCTTTTATACATACAAGAGCTAGGATTTCGATTTTGAATGCCATGTATCTATCATTCATGTCACAGAGATTTATGAAGACTTTAAGACGTTGACAGTGTATGTCAAGTCTTTGATTCAATACAAAAGGAAAATGATAATTAAAAATTACATTAGTGATTTTCCTCAATTTGTTATTTTGTTCAGGGGATTTCTTTACAAAGGGGAGAACTGGAGAGGAAATGGTAGCCTGGTCACTCACCAAAGTCTTAAACAAGGACTTAGCTGTGGCTGAGTTTCAAATTCTTATACTTTTACATACCACTTTTGACAAAAAGATACCAGCTTTTTCACTTACCCTAAGAAGTGTTTTGGGTAACCCTTAAGTCCCAATATTCACATTCAAATTCTCCAGACTGATCGCCATACAGTTCCTTAAAGAATAAGTTGATAGTTTTTCTTTTTTTCATAAAAGATCAAAGCATTTCCCCTTTGGTGATCATGTTCTCAATTCTCATAAACCTTTTTTCTTGATTATGTAATGATGATGTTGGAAGAAAATTGACATTCATCACTCTTGGGACTTAAAGGAACAGTAAATGAGGGTATTCAACTTCCTTAAGAAATGGAATGGATCAATCAATGGATCAATAATTGGCAGGGGCATCATTTGCAGGATGCTTTGAATTTTTTTTAGTAGTGAGAAATACAAATGAGGCAGTTTTCCTAGCCACGGTATAGCCGTCCCATTCTCTCAGGAAGAAATCGGGAAAGAAAAACCCTTTCTGATTTTTTTCCTCAGGGGAGAGGGTGGCTGTACACCGGCTTCAATTAACCTCTACTCATAGCGTGCATGTAGACATCTCCTTGTGAGCAACAAAGAAAAGAGGGGGCAACTACACGCAGGCTACTCGACTTGTGAATCCTTGCTCTTTGATATACCTGTAGACTGAAAGGATGAAAAAGGTACCCCATATAGGCGGATTATGGAAAGCATTAATTGACTATTTTCCAATTCCCCATAATACACTCTGTCTGCCCCCCAAATTTTGCATAACTTATTGTCTTAAAATGCTCTTGGGAAAATGCAGTACTCCCAGGAGCATTTAAAAACAATGGTTTATGCAAAATTTGGGGGGCAAACAGATTGTATTATGGGGAATTGGAAAATAGAGAATGCGGTTCTTTATCGAATTGAAAATAGAATTCACTTTTCGATTCTTTAGGTTTTTTAGGATTCCACCATAAAAGCCGACTCTTTTTGGATCTCAAAAACATTAAGCTATTACGCCGTCCACAGTACTTTTTGCCCTGTCATGGGCGCCCTGTGTTCCTGTCACGCAATCCCTCGAGGTGACAAAACTTGGCAACGGCATGGAGGACGATACAGACGAAGATAACAGCTTCGATTATAATTTTAGTAAGCAGAGACAGGACAAGTCAATTGAACTTTACCAAAGAAACGCTCTGGGAAACATTGCTGCACAGTTATTTCCCACATATGGAGAATTGTTCGCCGTTCCTGTAGCAGCAAACTACGAATATTTCGACCTGCTCTCTGTGTTTGTTAAACGGGACAGACATACCTTCGAATTTGTTGGAACTTTACGCAAGAATGGGGGTATTTTAATGGACAACAATTTGGATTTATTACATATATTAAGACCGCATTTACATAGCAGCTCAAAGAAAGGGGTAGATAAGTATCTAGTTGCTTTAAAACCTCCATTCACCCACGAAGTAAGCGAGTTTTCTATGGAAGACTTGGCTGGTCGTCCTGAGGGCAAATACTTCAGCTGGATTGATTTAGGAACCACGCAGATTGAGTATGTCGACCCCGCGAAGCTCACTGCTAAAGTAAACATGTTGAGAGTAGATCAAGAGTCGTCTAAACTTGGCGGAAAACCTTGCGTATACGTTGTCTATAAGGTATGCATGCGCTATCTTTTTTGACGCATGAATGTAAGCTCACTTGATTTTCGAGAAAAAGCAGGATCAAGATTAATGATTCCCAGGTCATTTGGTATCTTGAAGCCTTGTACTTAACTGGTCAAATGGTACCGTATTTCCTCGAATAATTGCCGGGCGCTTATTTCAAATTTCGGCGTTTTACTTGTGGGGGTGATTATTACGTTTTCCTCCTTTTGGTAATCAAGCTTACCCTAGTCCCATTATAAACATAAGACACAGATGTATCACTGCTCATGTTGAATGTAATCTTAAAAATTTATACCATAGAGGCAATTTTAAGAAACAAGTTTTCCTTGTATCACTACTTTTTAACAAAAGTGATGGAGAGGGGTACTTATTTAAGAGAGGCATTATTTTGTTTTATATTTTGACCAAATGGCATGGGTGTTAATTGGGGGGAGGGCATGGATACTTATTTTAGGAAATATGGTATTATCTGGGGTTCCCGAGTTCAATCCCTGCCCTAGGCATGCTTGTTAATAGCCAACTGGTTTGCCTCCGGGCAGTTGGGATTTTTTTAAAGTCATTTTTTTTCTACATTGAATCTTAGAAAGACTACATTGAATGGTTCCACTCGATAATTGAGTTTAAAAAAATAAAAATTTCAAAGCTTTCATCTCCCTCTCTGTTTCCCTGATGTGGGATATCCTTGCAGAGATTATAAAGCCACAGGACACCCACTTTTTGGAAAATGATCCTTTCAAAATAGCATGTCTGTGAAAAAGGCTTTTAACACACTTCAGTGAAATACTAGGAGAGGTGGCCATGGGTACTCCTTCCAATTCTCAGAAAATTAACTCTACTTCTAGACTATCAATGTCCTGGATCTGCTATGACTGTAAATAGATGGCTCAAAAATTTATCCTCTTCTTACAACTTAATTCCCTCAGGTGTGGTATTCTGACAGACTTCATTACTATCATTCCAAAGAGTATGTTTCTAGTACCTGGTTTGGTAATGACAAGTCCTCGTTAGAAAATCAAATCAAACTTTGCACTAAGTCACTAGACAGATGTTGTATTCATTTGGATGCAAGAGATGCTAGAGCTTTTGGTGTTTGTCGTATTCCGCTTTCCTCAGATGGCACACTTGGGACTCCCAGATATGATGTCAACCTGGTATCAATCAATCCCTTTCGGCCAGCTTCCACTGAGAGTGCATTTTTTGCTGAAGGTAAGACTGCCTATTCTCCTTTGCAGCCATTCTTTTGGTCACCAAGCAATACTCCTCCCCTTCCAGCTGCTGAGAATCTAACCACATTCCTTTCCCCACATTAAGCCAATCAGATTTCACAGAGGGGGGGGGGGGGTGTTTCATGACCAAAGACTGCCTTGATAAGATGTCAATATAGGGCTGCGCATTATAAGGCACTGTCCAATCATAGTAGTTCGTTGTTTAAAGTGTTGGAATAGGAGAAATGTAGTTTGCTATACTGTAAACCAATCCCAGCCATCTTCAATTTTATTTTCTTCCCACCTTTCTATTTGCTCAAATAGTAATTTTTATTTGCACTTTCATTTCTTGTGTACTTTTCTTTACCCAAAATGTCCTTTCTCATATTTCAGAGCTGGACTTTGATTTTATCAAATGGCTGAGAGCACAAGTGCAAGGCATGAGAAAAAAGCAGATTTGGCAACCTGCTCTGAGAAAGCTTTTTAGTTTTCCTGCCCCAGATGACAGACAAGAAGCACTCAAGTTCTTGTTACAAACCATGAAAAAGTTTGAGGTAGTGTTTTTATTGAGATTTTGCCCCGACCTGCAGAGTCTTTTTCCTGTTTTTACACACTGAATGATCCTCTTCAAAACAGGTCTGGTATGTGAGATCAGACCCCCCACCCCCCATCTCCCCTCCTCCCTCATCCAGTCCCTCTGAGAATAATATGAAACGGCAAACTGATTCTTACGTCAAGGCGAGTAAACAAAAGAAAAAAACAAAAACATATATATTTAAACAAATTGCCGTATATTTCGGTTTGAAAACAAACCTTCTTCAGGGGCTGAAAGGAAAATGAAAATAAAACTAAAAGTTTGTTACAAATAAGAATTTAAAAATGTGACAATAAAAACAATGGATTGTTATTGGTATAGGAGACTAAGTGGTATCATATATCAGTGAGCTTTGTCACGTCTATTTATTGCGAGAGGAGATAATGTGTTCCCTTTGTGTATTAAATGAGCTTCTGGAGCCTTTCTCACTGCATCTCAGTTACTGTGTATGAGTTCAAGTGGGATTAGAATGACGTCATTGATTGAATGTCCAGCTTGATTAAAATGTAAGGAGACAGGAGTGGGATCATTGAGTTGTTGGTGGTTCAAGAAGGATCGGCAGTGTTCTCCAAATCGTTCATTTAGTTGGCGTTTGGTCTCTGCGATATACTGGCATTTACATTTGTTGCATTGAATTAAGTAGATAAGATTTTTGGATTTGCAGGATAAGTGGTCAACGATTTTTCTTTGTTCATTAGTTGCGGTAAAAATGTAATTTGTTTGGCGTTCCTGGAGAAAAGGAAAGGTGAGACAGCGTGGATGGTTGCATTTATAAACTCCGGCAGGTTGTTGCGTGTGAGGTGTGTTGTTATTCCGTTGGGAATAGCCTGCGTGCAGAAGTCTCCTATTTCCTTCGTTGTGGCGCAGAAAAGTAACTTTTCCCCGTGCAGCAAAGGCGAGAGGAGACTTATGGATGCAAGATATTAGGGAATGGTTTGCACCACTTCGCTTGGGAAGCTTTGGAAAATATAGGCTGTTGTTTGAGGTGAAGCCAATTTTACCCTTTTCAAGTTTTAGTATGTCTAGTTGATTTGAAAAGAAGGAACTCTGCCTTAAAGGGCTACGTGTCTCTTCCTTTCTGTCAGGGACACCCAACGAGAATATAGTTCAAAACCACTTAAACATTGCATTGTTGAATGTATTTTAGTATTTAAACGGTAGATATAGGCATATTTTTATCCCCTAAAAATTTTTCATCTGTTCGGATTTCCTAGGTGAAAGTCTAGTGACCCGAAAACTATAGGGATCAAAACTTACCTTTTCGAAAATTTCAGCTAGAAAAAAGGCTCCCGAGAATTCTAGAAGACCTTTTAAGGGTAAAAATGCGTTAAATACGGGCAATTATACGATTTTTTTTTTTGGGGGGGGGGCGAAAATCCTAGGAGAGGCAGGCAAGCAAGAAATTTAACAACAAATGTTCCAAACAGATATTTTCCAAAAACTGTCGTTGGGTGCCCCTGTTCTGTGTCCTAATTTTCTCTCGGCTTATGTCTGGTTTCCTCTTTTTCCTTTCAGACTGAAAGCGAGAATGCTATTCAACTGGTTGATTTTTCTGCGATATTTCCTGACCCACCCTCATGTCTAAAGTCTAGTCCATCAATCATGTCATCGTTTCTTAAAGGCGCTGGGATCATTCTTACCGCACCGCAACTTGCTGATGACGGCGAAGTATATGAGGAGCAAATTGTGTTTCAGCCACAAAATTGTCAGGAAAATCTGAGGATTTTGGAAGCGCTTTTTACGGTTCTTGTTAAGGGTAATGTTTTTAAATTCAGCTAAATCGTTGAAGAAATATCCCCATCGCACTTTAAAGGCTTATAATTTGAACTTAACTTTAAAAGCTGTACGTTTGCTTGCAGGTGTGATTACAGAACAGCAAGGAAAAAGCGTTTCCCAACTTCTTGCAACAGAAGTTGTTTCTCTTCAAGAACTGGTATGTAATGAATTTGTCTCGTCAGTGGCTAAAATAATAGGCTCTTGTGAAGAAATACTGCAAGCCGTTGTCGGAGGGCTGACTTACAAAAATGACGAAAATTTCGCACATTTCCGAAACACCTCTTATTGAAAACTCATGAAAATTCCAATGGCGGTCGTTTTCGACCTCAACGCCCTGTAAAGCGATCCCATTCCACTTTAAACTTTACCCACTAAAAAGCACGCCTTGCTGCCAGTCCCCCTGTCCGTGCTTTAGCCGCCCCCTCGAGCGGAAACTTGCGCAAATGTAACCACTCAAAACGGAAAATAGTTAATAACGCGTATCAAGCTCCCACATGCTTCACTCGGCAGTCGCCCGCTCTGTCTTAGCGAACAGTTGCGCATTTCTCAGCACCACTCAGCACGAAAGTAAAACTTAGCGTGACTTGATTTTCCACGCTGCCACGCTTTCGTGTACGCGTGTTGGGCACGTGTGCTTTGCATGGGATGATCATTTTGTGAGCAGGGCGAGAAAAGGTTGATCTGCCCTCTAGGCGAACTCTCATTGGTCTGTAGCATCAGTCAGCGATTTATGTGGCTTTTTCGTGATCCAAAGACGTTTTAATGGACGTATGAGTGACGGAATTGTTTTCTTTTTCAGTTTCACACGCAGATGGGGTGCATATGTTCCCCTTGTAAAACTCTTAATCCACGCGAAAAGCCTTTGTCCCAATTGTGGAAAAAACCATCGCGGACAAGAAATTACCTCGAGAGCTTGGGACTTCGGGAGATTCTCCATGAAAACCAAATGGTTGTCATCTGCCCTAAAAACTGCCAACTGTTAAATATTTTATCGCTTTTTCATGGCAGTATTGAGTAATGGATCGATAAATGTATGTATCAATTTCAATAATACCTCCACCTGCTTTTGTGAATGCTAAACACACCAGATGCAAACTGGTCCGCACGCTATATTTCTGTTTCCTTTTCAAATATTGTAATGGACTGCTGATAAGGGCTAAATAAATAATGAGAAAATTGAATGTTTGTAGATACTTGTAATATTTTCCCATTTTGTTTTACTATTTTTACATTCTTTATAATGTTAATAATTTTTTTTTCACATGATAGTTCGAAAAATACCGTGCTCTCATTCTGCTAGTTTACATATTTGTTAATGTTTCTCAATTCCTTCTTTTCTATTTTTCTTTAAAAAAATGCTCTTTCCTTTGAAAGTTGACCTAAAATGTAGGTTGCTTTAGTAATTTAATTTACTTACTCAGAAGACAAAAACAATATGTTTTAACCCACGATCGGGCCAAATTTTAGCAACTCTCATGCAGAGATTCTCTTACCTTGATTCAGATTGTTATTGCAAGAAAGTTATTTTTTAAATATTTGAAAATAAACAAACACCTACTATACTTTCCAAGAGTAACCAAAAATAGAACATTGAACAAATAGCGAGACATAGCACACTTAAGCCTTGTTTAAAGGGGATATTACACGAGACGATTCGCAATGACGATTTTTAGCGCAACACAGCGTTGCAACACTGTTGCCACATTGTTTCGAATAGCTGCCACATTGTTCCAACATTGCCACGCTGTGTTGCCGTGAAAATCGTTGTTGCGAATCGTCCCGTGTAACATTATCTTAAACCGGCTCAGCTAAGCTCTTGCTCCTTGTCCCTGGCTAGTGTTAAGTCAAATTTCATTCTCTTACCAGGGCCTTGTGGTATTTCACCTATTTTCTCAAGAAAACGATAGTAACTTTTAAATATGCTGGGGTTTTTTGTTCAGTTTTAAGCCGATCAGTGATTGGAATAATGTTAATTTTTTTGTGGCCAGATAATTTTTTGTAGTGATCGTGTTTAATAGCCATCTATTTCAGTAACTATTACGATTACAATACGTCATAGAACTGACTTTTTAAATTTCCCTTCTTTGTTCTAGTTCTGGGTATTTTCAGCATAATTAATCTTGCTTTTACCGGGAGAAAATAATTGCAAAAAGTAAAACCCATTTGTTTACTTATTTATTTATTTATTTTTTTGATCTCTAAGTGCTGAGAAAAAGATAGAATTCTTTTTGCCAAAGTACGAAATTGTAACTTTCAAGTCATTTAAAGTCATACTTGGAGAGGAAAAAAACAATGACACAGAATTCTCCTTTTGTTTTCCTTTTTTAGTACCTAGCAACATAATATATTTTCATTTGTAGTTCGATATTTTGTCAAGCTCAAGCCAAATATATTGATAATAAACTTGAAATGTCATGTTTTGTTAGCAAGCCATTGAAAAGCCGCCAATACTCGGCGAAAATAAATTCTTGTGAAGGCAGATGCGTCGTCAGAAAATAAGTGACAATAATTGTCTGTGTCATATAGCTCATTATTATTTATGGCCTCAGCTTAACTTCACTGAAGCTCTTATCAGTAATAGCAAGTAAAGTCTCTGTCATTTTAATTTTACCTCAAGCGCGCGGATGAAGAAAAACAGCGCTTTGTTTCGGTAATGTTACTATTTGTACGGCTGTAAGAGGGGATTTGACTTTATGGCCGATCGCGTCGATAGAGAAACTGGCGGATTTGAAGCTGAATTTCTTGTGCCGTTACCAGAAGAATACGAATGTCCAATTTGTCAACTAGCGTTTCGCGACCCTGTTCAAATCGAAGACTGTGGTCACAGATTTTGCCAGTCTTGTCTTCAAGAGCTAAAACGAAGGTAGAGAATATCTTTTTATACGATATCCTTGTTCATGTTTGCATGGTTCCAAAAATGTTAATGTTTTTAATTCAAAACCGCCAAATTGTGTGTAGTAAATAAAAGCACGAACGTGGAAGCGCGTAATTATGCTTGAAAATGGAATCGAGGATGATTTTATGGAAATTCTCAATTGGCGTTGTTTTTATATCTTACTGTTAGAATGGTGAAAATTGGATTAATCTCTGATATTCGCCGTTTTAAGATATTGAATTCACTTTCACTGAAATATGTTTTCCATGTTTTTATTTTTACGTAAAATCAAGGCAGGGAAGTCCTTGTTTATGCCCGTTGGACAGAAAACCTATATCATCCTCCAAGGTAATGTATAACCTTAGCAAAAATTGAAACCGGCTGAGTTTTGTTGTATAATTTGTTTAACTTTTGTTCGTGCGATTTCTTTGTCTCTCCATCATACTCAAACGTCAATGGTAACTTCTGCAAAGCGCTTAAATTGTGTTACTTTCCAATCGGTCACAGTTTAAGTATTGAATTATTATGAAGATTCACCAGTTTTTTTATACAGTCTATAAAAAAACTGAAGTTAACTGTTATCTGATTTTCGCGATTTTTGAGCAGTCAATTTTAGACCAAAAGCCCGCTAGGGGGAATAGTTTAATCTGAATATTCTGATAAGCTTTGCGTAGACACATCATATAGCAACCACAAGTTTAATATTCAAATTCATATTTCTGAAAAATTCTGACCTGAACTGAGGGTGGAAGAATTTATGTCAGCAGTATATTAGAAATCTAGAACGATTTGTGAGTAAAGATTTAGCAAGAAGAAAAATATAGCAGGCAATTTCGATGCCTCTGTGAATCTGTTCTCAGTTCTTTGATAAATAGCTCTGTATGGTTTTTACGGGCTTAGAGCCTGATACATATCTAACCTATTTCGGTGGGATTCTACTTCTTTGGCTTACTGTACGTGGATCTGGACAAATACCTATAAAATGAAAAGTGTTAAAATCGAAGAAGCGAGATCCACTCTTTACCCAAAGGAAGCGTAGACGATTCTACCCTGGATAACCTCTTCGCAGTGCTATAAACGGGGTATAGATTTTGATGAAATTAAAGCCACTTCGATAGTTTTTTTTTTTTTATTGAGAACCAAAGAAACCATATTGATTTATTTTGGTTTAGTTCGTAACTTGATGTGTTGTTTACTTGCAATAAAAGAGAAGATTTTTTCCCATTTATTTACTCTTTCTTTCACTATGTATATACAGATTTTTGTCGACAAGGCAGCCAAACGTGCTGTACTGTCCCTTGGTGTTAAATGTGTGAACTGGAAAAGAAAGTGTGATTGGACGGGGGATTTGATATATGTTGAGGTAAGCGGACTACACACGTCTTGACTTTATCCTCTGTAAGTGCGAAATTAAGTCTCCTATTTGCATGAAGCGTGAAGTAATTATATTCTTGCAAAGTACTGTCAATACGCTTTAAACTTACCCGTGTTATTTTCAGTCCCACTTGAAATAGATCAGATCAGACGAGATTTGCGTTTTTTTATAATACTATGTTTACAAGCAAAGCAGATGCTTGGCGTTCGAAATCACGTGACTAATGACTTAAGCTCTTCCAGTTTCAGATTTCCTTTGTTATTCTTTGTTTCAGTTATTGCGTGTTTGAATAATGTTTCAAAGAAATGAACACACCGATGTGATTAATCTTTTGTTATAGAACAAACAACAATGAAAGCTTATGATCTTTTCTTAAAAATGTAATCGAAGCTAGCATGCTGTAGAGAACACAAGATCAATATCATTCGTAAAAAAGATCAATTTTTAATGCATTGCAATAAACTGGCTGTTTAAATGTCGACCAAAGATTTCACTTCAAGGGCGTGAACATGTATGAATTTTCTTCTTTTGTGTTTCTCTGTCTGACCAAGAAACTGAAAAAGTAAACTTATTTTATCCAGAGGAAGTGTCTTATTTACATTAGTTGGCAAAATCTCGTTCCCCTTGACACGGTTTCCCATAAAAATAGATTTGCTTTGTTTTATTGTCAGTTCAACTATACGATTTCTGTGTAAAGCAAACAAACTCTCTTATACCCAAAAAATATTTTAAACACAAACAGAAGCAATGTACTTAGATAAGAGATCGTTACTCCCTGCCAAACAAAACTGAGTCTTCGGATTCTTGAGAGAGATTGGAGGTAAACGCCGTCTAATTCCTGTACTGTTCGAGTTGTTTCATTGTTCACTTTTTTTATATAAGTAAGCAGACGAAATGCCATCTGCGCTCATCTTGAGCACGTGTGGTTTTTTTTTCGAATGTTGGTTCAGATTCTCTTTGCATGTTCCGCGAGATAATGGATTTTAAATATTTTATGGGTTGCCTGTTTTTTAAAAAAGAAATCCATGACTTTTCCATTGGTTTGTGTTAAATATTAAATGAGCCAACCATTAGAAACAGCGCTGATCAGCAGAAAAAAAAATACCGTAAAAAAGGTGGACATTATCGTAAAAATGTAACAACTGGAGTTTAGATCTGCTCTCTTCACTTGAGGATATTCTCATAGCACGTGTCTAGCCATAGAAACAAGCAATTCGATATAACAAATTACGTTTGGCCTGATCAAGAGATCTTTTGCTTGGTTGTTATCCATTTTTGGGCGATTCATCTGATCTGACCATTTATTTTCGTATTCTTGGTTGGAATCATCCCCAATTGCGTCAATCTTTGCGTGAGTCTGTGTCGTTTCTTAGGTTGGAGTTAGTCCAAGAAAGTTGACAGTTATTTTACTCCTCTACATTTTTGTATCTCTGTTTTAATCGTTCCAAAATCATATCAATATTCCTCTGCTTTTCTCGCGGACTCTATGCACTGATCTCTTAGTGAAATTTGATGAGTCTTTACTATGCTTCGTTTGCACCTAGATCTTACACTGGTAAGCATTATTTAATTGGTAGAAGCAGCAAAAACCATTGTTCATTACGCATTCCTCTACTGGTCAAGTCATTCTCTTTATCTTTCTTCATGTTATTTCAGACTGTTTTAGTTTGCAGTCGTTAATTCTTCTTTTAATTCGGTGAAACTCAAAAGAAAAGAGGCTATAAGTTTTAAGTTTGATTACCAGAGTAAACGTCGACAGCTTTCCGATCATTCATTGTTTTGGGTTATTTTGAAAGCCTAAAATTCATTTCTACTTGTTTGGAAAGTCTCATCCTCGATATACTTTCTTAGTGCCAAAAATTCATAATTAGGTAACGAACTGATGAAAACGAAGCTAACCCCGATCAGTCACTAGAAAATATCATGTTTTTTTCTGTTTTAAGTTGCTTTCCAGTTCCCAGCTGAACAGACTGAAATGTTCACTTGTAGTTATATATTTATCGTTTAAAACTCGTGTCTGTCTAGATACACGATCAACTAGAGAGAAAGATTTGCATGACAAAGGCCACTCCCAGCTAGGCGAAAACCTTAGTGAACAGGCTAAATACAAAACCTTTTTTTGTGTGTAAAAAAAGAGTTTTATTGCATTAGAACTCTAAAAAATCGTTTTCATATCAATAGCTTCCCATTTAGCCTCGCCTTGAAACAGAGGCTTGGGGCGACTTGGCAATAGTCTATTCGCTGGTTATTAAATATGACAAACCAGGAGCCCATAACCCGGCACGAGAGACTTCTACGTGCGCGCGTCACAGCGTTTTCACCGGCCAGTTTATTTTTAGAACGATTACGCGCGAATTTAGAACATCTTTTATTCCCCACAAACCAGTTAGTACTAAAAACCTACAGACCTATAAATGGTATTTTTGACCTTTTAATGACGCTTTGTTTTACGTTTTCATATCTTATAATTAAAATGTGCTTATAGAAGGAGGGGAGCTTCCTTCCCGCGGGAAAAAGAGCTCTCTAATGTATCTCAAAATAAATTAGTCAATGAAAACGCCGTGACATTAGCCTGCATAGTAGGCGTTATTTTCTGGCGTTTTCCTGGCGTGCGAAACCGAGCGAGGAGGCCTAGTATGGAAGTTGCTCACTACGGGTTATGGGCTTCTATGCCTACTACGCGAACTCATGCAAGACTACAAGACGAACATTTTTATTTGACAATTTGTTGCAATTTTTGTTGTTATTGCAGGAGCATATGAAAAACTGTGCATATGAAGATGTACATTGTACAAATCCTGAGTGCAATGAAGTAATGCCTCGCCGCGCTTTACAGTACCATTTAGTGTCAAAGTGCCGCTGGAGGGTGGTGTCGTGTCACTTTTGCGCTGAGATGTACACATACAAGGACAGTAAGGTAACGTCTAAACAGCTCAGAACCGAGAACCTTGCCTAGTCCGCGTACCTAGTCCCTGTTCGGTGACTTCCCGGGCCTTCTCGGTCAATGTATTTCGGTGACGTATCCGAGACGAACAGCCTGAAACGAGAAACTCACCCAGCGGTCACGTAGAATATTTAGGCATAGGGACTGGGTAACTCAGAACCTTGAATTTTATTTTTTGGGGGAAGGATTGATTCTCTCTTGCATACAGCCTTGAAGCGAGTTTTGAAGTGGTTAATTCAATAATCACTCTCTTAGTCTGCAAGCAAGTTGTCCATTTAGGGGATATAGGTTACGGGTGAGCGGCGCGCAAAAGAAGACTCAAGAGCAACGAGCTTTGCCGCTCGCTTGCAGGCTATCATCCTCTTTATAATACAATTGATTCCCTTCATGGCGAACGCTCTGTGAGCCCCCGGCCACTCTTGTGTCAGGTAAACATCAGCTTTTTGACGGGCATTTTCGTCCGCGTAAGGCAAAGCCCGTATATAAAGAGGTCATGGTCTTTGACAATTTTTCCTTTATCGCACAGTTTTCTAAAGTATATTGTCGGCAAGCGACTCCAAAACTGCGTTTAAATGAAAAAATATATCAAACAATTTTTCTGAAAGATGGTCGTTGAACGAGATGATAGGTTATGGCATTGAAAGAACAAACGGGAAACTGTGGTATTGCAACGCGCGACGCGTGAGAAAAAAAACTCTCTCGTACCTAACTTAATTTAATAAGGAACAAAATGACTACAACAAAGGACCCACAAAGTGGATTTATGCCCTCTTCACCAGGGCTCCCTCGTGCAAAAAAACCTTACTTTTATCCCGTACGTTAAGTGGCTAGTGTGTCACGTATGGAGTTTTTACAAACCTCGTTGGTATTCGGGCAAAAGAATAGATGCATGCTTGCTAAAATGTTTCTTTCTGATTTATGTGTAAGTAGGCCAGTAAGAGCTTAATAGTTACTTGCGGGCGACAACAGGAGCCCGCAATTGTAATTTCCAGGTTGCTCCATTCTTGCGGCAGGTATGTAGCCTGCATTCGTTTGGACTTCTTCTAAGCTTGATTGAAATGCGTTAAACGCAATCGGATTACGCGCGTTTGGACCTTCAATCACTTGAAACTTACCCAAAGGACCAGGACCAGAAAGAGCGTGATACACGCCCGCAGTCCCTAATCCTTTCTGTTGTTTCCATTGCAGCTTCACATGAAAGTATGTAAGAGAATTCCTTTAGAATGTGTAAACAAGTGCGGTGCTAAGGATATTCCTCGAGAAGAGGTGAGTTATAGTGAGAAGAGATTGCGTTAATGTGCAGGTGTGCATGGTTACCAAGCCATTAGAAAAAGGAAAGGCGTGATCTGCATTTGAATATGTACAAAGAAATTTACGTTACATAAATGTTAATCTGTTTGTAGCAGGGATGGCACAGAGCAGGCTTTACGATAGCAAGAAAACGCAGCCAATGACCAGGGGCGCAGTATCAGGCTGGCTTTCTGATCGAACTCTATCATCGTGCAGTCTCTACGGAGACTGACGAGACTGGGCACAAGCGGGCCGGCAGGTAGCACATCAGACGGGTGTACGGTGGCCCTGCAAAACCGTTAAGCAGCTAAACGATCCCGCCAGCACTTGCTATACAGAAATAATGGACGCACGGATAAACGTTTCTCTAACACTGTGACATGTTGGCCAAATGTTTGATGGCAATCAGAACTTTCGTCCAACTAAAAAAAAGAGTTGTACGGACGTAAGCAATCATGGGTTCTAATCAGTCTTCATTATTGGACCAACAAATGTTGTACAACAGTAATGGATCTTCCAGCCGCTTCTTTAGATATAAAGACGTTGTTTTCTTTCTTTCAGCTTTCATTTCATCTAAGTGAGTGTCCTTTGGCAATCCTTCCCTGTTCTTATCAAGATATCGGTTGCACATTTAAGGTAGAGAGGCATGTATTTTCTTAAATACTTCTGAATGCGTCCTTTAAAGAAGGAAATACGACGAAACATCTCCATTTTTGCATGCAATCTTTCCTCTGCTTATTACTCCACATAAATGACAGTAAACTTGGCAAAATTGGTGACCCCTCTCTCTCTCCACCCACACAAGGGGCCAGTGTGAATTCCCCTAGGCAACTTATGACTAATGCGATGTCGAGGTAAAACGCAAACGTATACTGCGACATCAAGCGCTGGAAAAATTATTCCTGACGGCTGCTATTTTCTTTTCGCTGGCTAAAAATACACCTGTTTGGTTTCATAGCTATGAGCATGGTAATGCTTTGTATACTGAACTAGTTGCAAATCTGTGTCAAGAGGTAAAAAACAACCAGTAATATAACATACATATGGCCCATGGGGTCCACTGTGTTGTATTTGTATACTTCTCACGTCAAATACAGTATTTGCGCGTGGCAGTTACTATTTCTTTGCTGTTTTTAAAGTTGTTGTATTTCTTTTCCAACTAATTTCAGGGGAAACGAGATACGCTTGACGACCACACGAAAACCGCGGTACACACCCACCTTGGTCTGGCAATGCAGAAAATCCGCGACAATGAGAGTCGTAGTACTTGCACCAATGGAGTATTCATCTGGAGAATTAGCAACTACAAACAACAGTATGAGCAGGCTCTTGCCTCGCCAGAGGACCTGGCGATTTTCAGCCCGCCTTTTTACACTTCACAGTACGGGTACAAAATGCGGTTGAAAGCGTATCTTCATGGGAGAGATCGCGGGAAATCCACCCATCTGTCTCTGTATATAATTATAATGAAAGGTGACTATGATGCTTTACTGGACTGGCCTTTCAAACAGAAGATAACGTTTTATCTTATCGATCAAGGTGAACAGAAGAATCATAGAACACACCAACTTAGTCCTAACCGCTCATTACCAAATATCAAGGTGGTTTTCAATCGGCCAACCATGAAGGAAAATCTCGGGATTGGAAACCCTTGTTTTGTTCCGCAAGAGGCGCTAGAGACTGGCGAGTTTGTTAAGGACGATGCGTTGTTTATCAAGGCAGTTGTTGAGCCTGCGAAGACTTCTACTTGACCTGTGTACAGTTCAACCAAAACTGGAATGTGTGTACAGTTCAGCGCCTTGTTAAAAGACTCCTCTTTACCTCAGAAAGCTCTTCTTGGGAGATGATCACTTACTTCTGGCTAAGACGAACACTACAAGATTGTCGCTACTAAATTCTTCCTGCTTTGCGAACAAGTAACACCCAAAGCAACACAATTAGGCCTTCTAAACGCGGATAAAACACCCTCTTTAAGTTTAATGAGTTAAGTTGCAATTCATAGGCTCGTCTAGAACGAACGTTTTAAGACTTCCTGATGGCGTGCTTTGTTATGATCACTGTTCATTCGCCTCACTTTCCTGCTAGCTTGCGTGGGGAGAAGTTTAGGGCGCAAAAAAGATCGGCGGCATTGACCTCGAGGAAGGGGAAAGAGCGTGGGCGTGTCCTCTGTTCCGCGCATCACTTATCTCGCGCGTCATTCTTGTGCGCCTGCCTTTTCTGGGTTTCCTGGGCACATAGTCCCACTCACTAAGTTTGGTTCGTCCCATGGAAATTTCGACGTTCAGCCTAGGTTTAACCTCATGTACATTACAATGTTTTATTTTTATGCAATTGTCATATCTATAATTTCGCAGAACTTCGGTCTCTTGCTATAAAAGTACCTTTCTTTTTATATGAAGGCAAACATATTAGTACGAATGCTCACGTAGAGAGTTTGTTCCTTCCCCAAGCTGCCTGTTGACAGGATATGGCTCCGGCCTGAAGGCCACGTCGGCGCTGTTTAATTCGAAAGTCCCCTACTAGTAGTGAGCTGTGTACATGACATGAAATTTTATTTTCCACAAAATAATAAATATATATAAATATATATAAATATAAAATAACTGAGCCTGAACCATTTCAAAAATATCACTATTAATAAACTTTTGTCTCATTAATTTTATTTTCCTCATCACGATCAGGAGCCGATGACCTCATTTATTGCCTCACTACCCACAAAAAAATACGTTTTTAGCGGCTACAATGCTGGGAAACATTGTTGGCGCAAAATGGTTTCCTCGGCGGGTAACACTCCCCATTGATCATGATCTTCATGATAGTTAGGCCACTTGCACTAAGAGGTCACGTGACCAATGCTTCCTTTAAACAATGAGTTGGAATCTTGCTGATGCCAAAAATTGACAGAACAGGTAAAAATTTTTTTACACCCGAAATTTGAGAGGAAACACATTTAAGGGAGATATTTTATGGCACTTGGACTTTTCAACAAAGTAGTATGATTTGTGTTGGCCACCATGTTGGAGGGCATACTTTTGCCCTCCAACATGGCGGCCAAAACTACTTTTTGCTTATATCTTGTTAAACGTTTGACAGTTACGCTCAGATGTGCTGTAAACGTTACCACATCATCTTTTCAACATTTTCCTTGAAGTTTAAGTGCAAAATTTGTGTTCAGAAAGAGGTAATTCATAATTTTAAAAATCACATTTTGGTCACGTGACCAGCTACGAACTTTCTAGTACGGGTTTGAGAAACCAAATCGCTTTTATTTTGTTTAAGAAATGACCCTCTAGTCGTTTTTCGAAGGCAAAATCTTATCACTCTCATAAAAAAATTGTTCATAAAAACCATACCCAGTTTTTCTACCGCTAAATTGAGAAAGAATCTGAACAAATCTCTGTCTGTGTGCGTCACGTGACGTCTTTCTGCCAATACGCACGCAGAACGCAGTACTTAGCCAATACTTGCTTGATTAAAATAAAATTCACTTATTTTACCTCACTAATTATCGGATAAAATAAAAGACTCTGTTTAAGAAAGTTGAGCTTTCTTACAAAATGTTTGTGAATCGACGCTGAGCAAAATACAAACGGTGGGAATAGTACTAACCGACTCTGTCGAAGAAATAACGTTTAATTTTAAATGTAAGAAATTTTTTCTTGTCTGTAATGAGAAGAGTGTGTGATTCCTAGAGAATCATTTTTTTCAACATAGCCAAAATTCCACGTAATTTTTCCTCTGCATGAAACGTAGCATAAACCGGATACTTGAAGTCATTCATATTTTTTTCTCAGGCCAATGATAACGTATTCCAATTACAAAAACCCCTGTTATATACCGAAACCCTGGCCGAACCTGTCAAAATCCCACAAACTACTCGAAAAATTATATTGAAAATCGGGTTTCTCTTTTGATTCGTTACTATTTTTTGTTTTGTTTTTAATGTTTTATAGTAAAACTTCCAGAAGGACAAGATATACCGACAACGTACAGCGGGGTCTAAGAATTCAAAGTACGTTATGTCGCAACTTTAAAATTAAAACAAAATAAAAATAAAACAAAAACGTCTTATTTGAATATCATGAATTAAAATATGCGCATCTACTTTGCTATCAAGATATTTACACTTGAGTGAGTTTTAAGCGTCGGTCGTTTTTGACGATGTAGGACATATTACATGGCTGGCGATATTTGGATTTCTTCTTCCTTTCGTTCGATCATTTGGACTGGCCTTTTTTCCATGTCAAAATTTTGGGTAAGTAACGTTTAAAGTACTGCTTCTTGACTGCGGTTTCCTGTGAATGCGCAGGGAATTTTTTGTGCAATTGTTTTGTGACGTGTTGGCGTTCAGAGGCCATGCTCGCTGTTTTCTACTTGTTTATTTTCACGGCAAAAATTTGACGCCAATTCGTAAACGTTTATTGGAAGAAACTTGGGCGATATCGAAATTCGGTTAGTTTTATTCTTTCTACAGAACTGAATTTTTGACACCCCAAATTGATAAGTATCACAAAATAAACTTCATTCCTGTTCATTTTACGACTTACTTTGTACAGAAGCATAATGCTTTGTAACATTCAAGTGATTGGAAATATTGTTGTTATCGTATATTTTTTTCAGAAACATTATTTTTCACCGAATACACTGAAAAGCAACATTTCAGGGTCGAAATTCGTGTTAAGCTAGACAAACAGAGATAGCCTTAAGCTTTGATGTTATAAAGGTTTGCTATCCGGGAACAATTGTTCCTTTAGCAAGCGAAGTAATGGGGTGGAAGTTTTGCAGAGAATTCAAAGGTGTTTAAAAAATACTAATAATGGTTAAATGGTTTAATAGCAAAAAATAATTAGACTATAAGTTTAAATAATGAAAAACCAAATAGAATACCCGCTTTCACAAATGTATTTACTTCTGTGTTCAGGGCAGATTTCAATGGGTTTTATTATAATTTTATGCGTCAAGTTCTAATTACTGTTTGAAAGGCAGCCGCATCATTCATGACAAGTCATTGCAAATGGAATCATAACCAACAAACCATGAGCATAAACAGCAAACCCGTGAAAATGGCCTTAAAATATTTATACTGTGACTAAAGCTGAAGACATTACCCCAAACTGCAGTCTGAAATAAAAAAATGGCTGCTGTGATTAAGACGTGAGTACCCTTCAATAGCATTATGAGCTATCTCAAGAGTTTAGGTAAAAGGTTAAATCTATGACAAAACCTTAACTGCTATCGTTATTCTGAAAAACAAGTGAAAAATTCACAGGATGAATATCAAAACCTGGTCTTGAGTCAAACTATATGTTAACCTTTTAAATATTAACATACTGACTCTTGTAACTCTTTGTCATCTTCATTTAGGTTGCAGGGGGTTATTACTGTCGAAGAGACTGGTAAGTTAGAGTTTGTTTGTTATAGGGTACTTGGGTAATTACTATGGTCTTTGGCTGGGTATATACAAGTTGGACTAGCTTCCTCTTTAGGAGGTTTTTGCATTCAAAAATGGTACTCAGTGTTCTAAAAATAGGACAATCAGATATTGTTTTGTTGTACAGTGTTCTAGATTATTTTTTTTCTGACCAGCTAAGGATGGGAAGCTGATGTTGTCTGTTTGAATGTTATCGCATTCCAATAAATGTCCTATAAATATGAACCAAGAGCCCCCATATTCTGTCTATGTTAAAACCCACCTATACTTTTTAATGTAGATATTGTCAGGTAGCCAAGCTCTCTTTTGCCCCTTGTATGGTAATCATTTACCAGAGTTAAGAAAATTTTGCTTGTGGAATTTGGAGTCCTGGGGTTTGGAATCTAGAATTCAGCTCTAGGAAGCCAGAGTCCTGCTAACAACTGGAATCCGGAATCCAAGTTGCACTGACAAGGAATCCCAAATCCAGTACCTGGAATCTAAAATACACTGTGTGGAATCCAGAATCCAATACCATCCTGGGTTACCTTACACAGGGCGATCTCTTAAAGGATGGCTGAAGATTAAGTGCTTCTTGATGTTACCCTACAAACTTCACCCACTAAAATTTCACACTCATATTCAACTTCTGGCCATAGCTCCATGCAAAAATGGTCCCTCTGAAAAGAAAATGAGGCCAGAGGACATTTTTGCATGGAGTTCTTCAATTACTTGTATTTTGCACTTGGTGTCTCCAGCATAAAGGCTAACTGGTGCAGTCTTATGGCTGTGAAAAATTCGAGAAAACATTCTGGTTTTGTGATTGATTCATATTTTCAAGACAGTGCATCAATTTACAGCACTGAGTTAAAAGTGATGCAAAGTCCTAAACTAGGTATGTGAAAGAGGTACCATTTGTCAATAGAAGATAAGCGAAATGCATACCTCTTCTGTCAAAAATGGTTGATAAAAGACTAAGGGGTTGGACCATAGGCTGAGTAACCCCCCCCCCCCCCCCCCCCTCGAAGAGGCTAGGGGTATATAGGTTTTTTTTCCTGAATCAAATCTTGCCAAATATGAAATAAAATTAACTGAACATATTTGACCTTTAGGTGCAATTACAATGAATACTGCTGTGGTGATGATATCTGCTGTGATTATCTGACAGGTTACTGGTATTTATGGTAAGACTTGCAAACTTATGTCATTATTTCACAACTCCTTCATGCTGGACAAAAATTCATGTAGGGATAATTCACATATGGATAATATGCGGGTTGGTGTGGTAATTTATAGCTATATAGTTTGCATCTCCTCATGTTTGTGGATTTCTTCAGTGGCTTTTAATAATAATGAGCAATTGCAGCCCTTACTAGATTAAAACCTGCTAGCCTCTGTCTTTAATTTACAAGGAAAACTTCTTTTTTTTGACAGGTTACTATCAGGCCTCTTTCTATTCTCTCTTATCCTGGTCTGCTACTGGATGCGCTACCACAGATATTATTCAAAAAAATCAGTTGAGGCATCAAGCAAAGGATATATACCCGTGTCTGGAACGGTGGTGCAATATGGAGAACAATATTACGTTCCCCAACAACCCCCACAGGTGCCGTTTGCACGTGAACCTCCAGTGTACACTGAGGAAAGACAGTTTCAGTCGCAAGAATATGAGGAGTCACGATACTACCCTCCACCATATGACTATATAGAGAGAAAGTCTCCAAGTGCACCCCCCGAGGGCCAATAATATTGTCATAATTATCTATGATAGTTTGTGAATTTTTTCTTCGAATAGTGCAAATTGAAAAATGTAGAAGGGGAAAAAAGCCAGTTAATGAACTTTACAGCCTACCTTTGTCCCTAGGAGGAGATCAAGTGTGATTGAGTGAATTGGGGAACAATAATGATTATATTTTATTATATAAACACCAATGAAATACAGGTGAGCTTTCGTGCGAAAACTTGATATCTTCACATGTGAAAATAACACGTTATCTTGAAATGTGAAAATATCACCATTGCTATGGCTACATACTAAACGGTGCCTTTCACACCAAAAAACTATTAAAGCGAAATGGTTTGGTATTTCATTGGTGTTTATATGGTAAATAGAACATTACATGGCCGCTTGGAGATACAAAATTTCTCTTCTTGTGTTGAAAAGAATTAATATTTCACTCGTTCGTTAATTGTGCTCACTCATGAAATATTTTTCAACACTTGAAGAGAAATTTCGTATCTCCGCGCGGCCATGTAATATCCTAGATATATTTATGGGGTCGGTTTATTCCAAACTGGCCACAAATTTTATGATTTATTTCTTTAGGGTAATTGGCCCTCAATGCCTCGTTTCAGCGTAAAATTTGTTTTGAATTCTACAAGTGCAATCAAGGCAAAGAGGGCTACTGGTAATTAAATATAAAGAGACAGGTATTACCACCTTTATGGAGTAACAAGGGTTCTCATAAGAAATAATCCTAAAGAGGATTGATTTTACGTACAGTGAACACTCTCCTAAAAACACCCTGCAAAACTCCAGGCCAGTTACAGCTGAATCTTCTTATTAACGGAGATATAGACACTTTTTTGGCCTCAACATCACGGTTTTTTGTGTACATGTTGCTAGTTTCTCTGTGATGGAGGCCTATATTTCTGTGTTACATGCTGGGCCATCAAAATATTTTGGTTCAGCTGGAAAAAAAAATTAAAATTCTTTGCCTGCCTTTATTTGCATCATCTTAATACTAATATTACAAAGTTTTTGTCCGTTTGGGATCAGTCGTGGAAAATAGAGATATACAATGGAGATATTTAGAATAAAGAGAAGATCTCTTCAGAAATGAAGTATTTTAGAACAGTATTTAATTAAAAAATAGACTGAATAGTTTGCAATACTGTATTTACGTCAAGAATTAAGACAACTCTATGTTTTGGTGGAGGTGCTATTTTTTCAGTCTGTATTGAGAAAAATGAATATTCAAAGAGTGCAATAAATTTTCCATAATTCTTTGAATTTGTTTATTATTTGCCATCTCAAACCAGAAATTATTTAAAAGAATGATCTTTAAATTTGACAAAGTTCTCATGGGAGCATGGTTGTTGGACTAGTCATAGCAAGCTGTGATCATGCAAGCCCATAATGTCGCTGCCACTCTCATTGTTTTCTTATGTGGTTCACGTTAAAAAATAGAGCCAAAAGAGCCTGATCGCAGTTTAAACCTCACATATGGCAAGAGTTGGATTGTCCAAACAATGGCCCGATTGGTTCAATGTATTATCCTGTGTTTTATTTTTCTAAATTGAATACTCTCCAAGTTATTTCATAATATTTTGTCGCAAATATTGTACACTGAACTTTACTTCAAAGTCTCAAAAAATGCACTATCAGTAGCAGCCCACAAAGAGCAAGTTCACTAATTTCCGAGTTATGTTCCCATGAAATGTGAGACATTTGTATGGGATTGACAGAAAACATGACCTGTTGAAGAAAACAATGTGTAGATTTGGCACTTCTGTTCTCAACTAACCAGTCCTAAGCCCAAGCGTGACGTGTTACTCCTCAGTCTGGTCCAATAATCCTTGTACACAACTTGCTATTTCTTTTGACGCTTTTTCTTTGGTTTGTTTCCTTCCTCTTCTGTTGTTTCTTTACTTGGCTGTAGATGTCTCATGCTTTTTGAAACCTGTAAAAACACAAAAAGATGTTTCAAAAACAAGTATAATACAAACTAGCTATAAAAAATTAGTTTTAGGCAATGGTCTAACTATTAACAGTAGTCGATATTTCCTTAAACTACTAAATTGAAAATATTAATGGAGAAACAAATGAGGAAGGTCCAATGTCACAGGTTAGAGTTTATCAGGTTTTCTTACGTCAGTGAAAAAAAGAAATTTCAATATTGCATTTACATGTATTTTCATTTCTTTCCTCTAATCAGCAGCCAGTAATAAGCAGCCAGTAATAATACTATCAGTTCATAAGGATCTCCAGAGTTCCAAATCACCCTTCTACTTTGCCTTGATAATGACTGCAAAGCTTACTGACACCATCTTAAGAATGATGTTGTTGAAACCCAAGTGAACTGTCAGTAAAATGTTCTTATTAAATTGTGGTTAACAGAATAAGTTAAGCTTAGAATTAGAAATACACACCTTCGAAACTGTGGAGAATGACTTTTTCTTTATTTCGTTTACTCTAGAGCTTTTTGATGTATTACCCTTTAAAAAACCAACAACAACCAATAAGTTACTTTTTTCTGACTCATAACTGTCAAGAAAAGAACATTGCAGGTATATTGAAGTCAATAAACCATATTCTCAGGTCTATTGAGCTGGATAAATTTCTTTGGTTAGGGCTTAATTATAATAAAGTACTCAAAAATAATTCACAACACAAGCATACCTTTTTGGCAGCAGAGAGTGGCTCCGTGGAGGTTCTTGTTTCCTTTTCTGATGTTGTTTGGCTGTCTTGTGATGGAGCTTTGCCAGAGTTTGCTTGTGACACTGAGGTTCCCGTTGTTCGCTCTAACACATGCTGTAAAAAGGTGGATACCAGACAATGACGACAATCAGATTATATTTAATTACTAATAACGTGCGAGTGAAAGATAAAGACACACATCCAGGGCTTATTCCAGCTTTTTAAGCAATGAAAGTATTTGTGCCCTTAACAGTCCATCACAGGGTTCCCAGGTTACACTATCCAACAGTTTAACAACTCCACCCTCGAAAGGGGTGCAAATTGTCCATCACAGGGTGACCTGGTTTATATATTGAGTGACTTGGAGTGTGACTGTGTTCCCCTGGCGAGCCTATCCAGGGCAGGATTTAAAAAAATTTGAAATCCACTTGCCCAAGGAACCAGTAAAATATAATTTTTCAGTTTTCACTTGTCCTCACTAAATTAGTATTTGCCCAAAGTGGAGGAGCACATTGCCTTATCATCTACAGTTCTAAGGTACTGACGGTGTCTATAATAAGTTATAGATTATAACAAAGTGTATAAGATTACTAGTACTACAATGTAAAATGCTGTGCCAGTTACAGAACAACTACTGGATTTGACCAAGATGGTGATTGGCGGAGTAACACGATTTTCAATTAGTTCCTGCTTTCAAGTAATTGTGTCACTCATCTTGCAGTCTTTAGTTTTGGACTATCTAAACAACCAGAACAGGCTATTAGTTTTGAAATAGCTTCTGTCTGGATTCAAATTATCATTTACCAAGCTGACACTGTCAGACATACTCACAGGACCACCGAGGCTAGTTTCACCTGCCCACTGGGCCACAAACTTCTATTTTTACTTGCCCAGGCAATCGGACCTGGGGTTTTTTCCTGGCCTTCTATCAGAGGGTTTGCAGGTAAATATACTTTGGAGTATAGACTTATTATTTAACAATGGACATTATTTAATATTCACTCAAAATATTTTGCTGTTTCTGCTATTACCCTGGTAAATTCTTCATAACCAACAGGTGCTTACCATATTTGGAAGATGCAAGAAATATACCATCAATTTGGTCGTATACAGGGAATATTATTTGATTGGAAACCAGGTTCAGCGATGGTATATTTGAATGGAAATGAGGCTTCATGGGCAATAGCCCAGTGATCAAAATGGCATTCATAGCTTTTCTAAGACGAAATAGCTGAATTTCTAACTAATACATGGAAGAAATGCAATACGCAAAACAAATTGTTCAGTAGCTGTTATCTACGTTTGAGGAGTATCTGATAGACAAAAACATCTGTTTATATCCTGACACCATGACCGTTGGCCAAAGTTAAGAAGAATTAAAAGTCTGCAAGGAGGTACATTGTAAGCTTGTTACTAATAACTTTTGAATGAATAATAAAACAATAAAAAATTATTGAATTCAGCTTTTGTATGATGTGAAGATTTATGCAAATCTCGGAGGATGTTATCCACCTCAGCCTCCAATCAGCCTCGGTGGATGACATCCTCCTTGATCTGCACAATTCTTCACATCCTACTCAGCCTCATTCAATAACTGCTTATTGTTTGTGGTTCTGAAAACAGAAGTCCTGGCTCATACCTTTTGACACCTTGTCCTTTTCCAATCATCAAACTTCTGTAATTCACTTCATCAAAAAGGTAAAACATGCATAGTTAAAAAATATCAAAGGGCATAAATTCATGAACGAGGGTGGAGGAGACAATGGACTTCACAAAACTAAAAAAAAATTTTGATATCCCCCTCTAAAAGTTAAAAGAAAATTGCTTATCTGGATAAATGGGTTGAAACATAGCTGCAATTAACTGACGTCCAAAAGACACAAATTGCAAAATTTCTATCCTCAAATTTTTACTGGCACCTTTCCATAAGTACTTCTTGTTAGTTAAAAATTAACAACTGGATATGATCATACAATGTACCTTGCAACATCTGTAACAAGATCATCTGAGATAGCACTGAATGATCGTGAAGAAGGAATAGTGCCAGATTCTAGTAAACTACTTTTCAATTCTTTGTAGTTCTTGTGGGCTTCTTCTAAATACTAGAGAAAGAGATTTATAACAAACTATACATTAGTATCAGAAATGCCAGCTGTTAGAGACCTAAATTCCAGGGACTGTCTGTATTGAGGAGACTGACTGCTTTGCAGTACCCCCTGTTCCCTCACCTCCAATATCAACCCACCTCACCCCTGGTACACATGACTCAAAATCAGAATGTTGGTGTGGGTCAGAACATTATACATAGTCTTAAATGAAGTACTAAATAACAATCTATATCAATGATGAAATAAATATACAATGCGCGTGGAAAAATGCCACTCAAAACTGTAATATGAACTTCAAAATCACAAAAAAAAATTTGAATTTTGGAAAAATTTCGGCTAAATTCCACACTAGGCTCAAAAGTCAATTTTATTTGGAAGAATGGGAATTGACGTGACCTGTGCAGAAAACCAGGGGATTCGTGCTTTATCTGGGAGATTTCTGGATAATCTGGGAGAGCTGGCATATGTAAATTATAGATGAAGTCATAATGTAGCCTAAAAAATACTTTTTTAAAAATTTATTCAGGGTGTAAAAGTTAAGAATCAAAACAAACATGTTTGTGTATATGCATGCAAAATAATACAAGGGATGTTCTTAAATCGCCTGTTTATATATTTGCATTAATTTCATATATTAAGGTATTTATCTGATTTGCTAAAAGCATAGTTAGTTTTAATACAATGTATGTGTGATTTATAGATAGGCTTGATAACCATTTTCATGTGTCATTGGCAGTGAGTAAACAAACAGACTGAGAAAAAATTAGGTACCTCAAGAGCTCGAAATCTCTCCTCTACATCATCATTAACATCATCAATTAACCCAGAACTTTGCCCTTCTTCTTGGCTTGTAATGGCTTCCTTAGATCCAAATGCAAGCTAAAAATAGGCTGCAAATATTAGGCTGAAGTAACAAAAAAATGTTGAGTCACACTTGTCATAAATGTTATGAGAAGTATGAATACACCACTTACATATATGTACTTACTGGTATTGGCATGGCAACAAACAGGAATGAGTTTTCTTTGTAAAGTCGTCTCAGAATGTAGTCAGCATCATGATGCTAAAAAGGATAAGATGATGGTGGATTATTTCATCATTGATTTACATCAACTCTATAGATAGGGAAAAATACAGTAATTCTGCAGAAAGTTTGTAATGCACATTTCTAATCAGTGACATTGATGATAAAATGGTACAGCGATTTTCATATGACCTTGAAATGAAAACGCACAAACAAAACAGAAACAACAAATATACCGAAACAGAGAAATTTGATTGGCTTATCAAACGGATACAAACGCACGAGGCTTTTGGTTGGTTACGCGAATGTTTGGGTGAAAAAACTTCATGCTCGAGTACTTTCTAGAAATCAACCGATACTTTGCTTTGACATCATACTGCAACACGATTGGCCAATCAAACAATGCCTTCTCCATATTAGGGTTTTCTTTGGCAGGAAAACGAAGAGTCCATGTTTTGATTTTTTCATCCATTGACTGATAAAACAAATAACGAACACTTACCGAAACCATTTTTAAAGGTCATATGAAAATCACTCTGGGCAATAACTGGTAGCGAATCAGATTGCAGGATTTGGCTTCAACTTGCCAACTGGCACTCAGACAAGCCACAGTTAAAACATAGATCACATACATGTAAAAGCATTTAATATAACCAAGGCTTTAATTTGAAATATGCCATGTTTACAACAAGAGCACTAATGTGGTATTAGCCTTCACAATCTTAAACCGGCCCATGTCTTAATGCAAGAAACCGCACAGGCTCATGCAACACGTAAGCAAGTTCACAAGCAGTGCATTAATTTTTAAAAGAACATTTGCAATTTAAAGTTTTTTTTTTTTAATAATTTAAATAAATTAGGGTCAGTTACTAACTTGCTGTTCAATAATCCGCTTGTGCAGCTCTTTCAGATCTTTCATCATTGCAAGGGTCATGCGAATCTTTAAATTAAAGCATAAATAAGCAACCTCACTTGACAATACTTTTAATTTTTTATGTCCGACAAAAATTAAAGGGAGGATATACAGTGGACTCTTGATTTCTAACAAAACCACTGGTTTAAACTCGGCTTCTGCTCATTAGAGCCAAAACTCACTCATCTTCAGCCACTCAGACACTGAACTTTTAAAAAGTTTGAAAATTGCATACTACTATATAAATCAATAAAGTGCATTTGGGTAAATTGACATTCTCAGGTTACACGTGAACCAGCTACATATTCAACCTAGTTTGAGTCACAAAATTTTCTTTTGTTTCCAAGGCCCTAATTATTATTCACAGGAAAAAAAAGACAAAAGTCTGAGAACTGATTTACCCACAAGGCATCTGCACTGGTTGTGACTAACACAATATGGCCTGCTTCTTTTTTTTTAACCCTGGCACATGTTTCATGGAAATCAGACAAGAAACATCACAGTTTAGATGAAGTACAGTTTTTATTCCAAAACAAGCATTACCTTAACTTTCGGTTGATTAAGATGTGTATAATAGATGGCATACAGCGCATACAATGCTCCAATCCGGTACTGAAAACTACATGGCGTTGAGTCAAGGTATGTACTTATGATGCGAAAAAGGTAATCAACTAGCTGTAATAAAACAACACAAGAATGGCAACTATCAACAGGTTAGTTTGTTCACAGAACCCTCCCTCTAAAAGTAAGGAAAGCATTAAACCACAGTAATTCATAAATTAAAAAGTTCTAATTTGTTATCAAAGGAAATTTTTTACAGCCACGCACTTAGGGTGTGTTCGATTGGGAAATCCGGATTTAGATTTTCAAAATCTAAATCCGGATTTCCCAATCGAACACGAAATCCGAAAACGGATTTCACCTCCGAGAAATCCATCCATAGGGTAGATTTCAATTAAGAAATCCAAATTCGGATTTCATGGATTTTCTTTTTACCGTTCGATTGGGAAATCCGAAAAAGGATTTACAAAACCATTCTCGTGAACAGTGGTCTTCTTTTTGCTAAGTATGCGTGGGCGTGCAAGACCGCTGTTCTTAACGACAGTTTTTCAAATCCTTTTTCGGATTTCCCAATCGAACGGTAAAAATGAAAATCCAAAAACAGATATCTCAGCGTTGAAATCCGTTTTCGGATTTCCCGTTCGATTGCAAGTCCGAAATCCGGATTTTAAATCTAAATCCAGATTTCCCAATCGAACGCACCATTAATAATGAATGTCCCAGTTTAAATAAGGCTATTGTAGCTTGGACAAGCTGTCTCATCCAACTAACTGTATATAAGCTACCTTAAACTAATCAATACTTTCTTTACATACTAAAGCTTAACTTTACAGGATAGTTATTGAATTAAATGTAAAGAGGATCATCGCAGTTTAGATGCAACTATGCAGAAATGAAAGCCTGAAAAAGTTCATTGAGATTTGAACCCTTGACCCACGAGATGGCAGTGCGCGCAAATCATCTAAGGGTATAGTTTGGAGGTGTCAGGGTCTGTATTTCTACTGTTCGCGTCCTGTCATATCCAAAATTTCATTATAAAAATAGAAAAGTAACGGTCTCTTTCAAACCTGTGTTCTTCTGTTAATGTCTTTTGCACCACTAAAACGAAAAAAGACAAATTAACCCGCTGTCAGTTGCAGAAGCCTGCATCTGCAAAATTTGAACAAACGTCAAAGTAAGGTCTGGTTGACACTGCAAACGAGGCTTATAACAAGATAAATGCATACCAGTGTATTAATGAAAAGTTCATTTCTCTCCACACTTCGCAAAATTTCTCAAATCGAACAGTTTTAAGGTTTTCAAAGCGTGACAACAGCAAACGGCAATCACTGATCAAACCTTCCGCCATCTTGTTTTCTTTTGTAGAAAACCGCTGTCCGTAGGTAACTCATCCCCCTCATCCGCATGGCCCAGGCTCTTCTCGTTTTCCAATTCCACGACTGACTGGATAGAGCTAGCCTCCCACGCAGGCGTTTTTAGGGGAGCTCGTTTTAAATCCCTCCTCTGTGCTAGGATAGAGCGCGATACGTTTGGTTTTGAGCCGTGTTGGCGGATTTTCGCTAACTGGTCACAGTCAAAAGTTGAAAACACCGTGGGACGGTCTATTGTAGTCTAGAATTTTACAGAAAATTTGTTGGTTTTTGAACAATTCCCAGACTTGACTACTAGTATTTAGAAACGACAATTCGCCATTTGCACATCTAAGAACGAGAAGTCCAAAGACTACTGCAAAGCTGATTTAAAACAACGTGTATTGTTTTTTTAGAACCGCCGTGACGAATTATTGTAATCCATATCCTTAGTATTTTTCCTTTCCAGTTTTTATGTTGTACGTCATTTCCGCCTCTCCCTTTTATTGCGACATTCTCCTTCTATATAATATTGTGATTGCTACATAAGTTCAGAATCATCTGTAAGCCTGAAGAAGGCTGGTATGGCCAGCCGAAATATTGTTATAAAAAACAATAAACGTTGTTTTAAATCAGCTTTGCAGTAGTCTTTGGACTTCTTGTTCTTGGTTCTTTATATTTTGGCTGATTTGATCTCTTTTCTAGAGATCCAACGTTTACAACTAGCAGGATCTTCGTCCACGGTTTTTGCAGCTAATTTAATCCTTTATTTGCACATCTCCATGCACCTACCCTTCTATCGAGCAAAGGTTTCTCTCCTGCATGACTTTTAGCGTTTACGAAGTCGTTCGTGTGGCTTATCTTGGGTGCGTCACGGAGCGTATACAGCTATTTCGAGAACGGTTGTCGGAAAAAGTGCACGCGAATATCCCGAAAGGTATTGTGGGTGGTTTTGAAAAAGAAGTTTGAAAGAGTGACACGAGAGGCCATGGACGTATGTTTAAGAGTGCTAAAGGAAAGCAACAAAAGTAGGCTCGACAGCTACAGTGTCAGGAACAGTGTATTGATCATGTCCCATATTACCTTTTGGGATTGTCGCGTGCACATTTTTTCCAACAACCTTTCGCGAAATAGCTGTAGAACAAGGGTATAATACACTTTCTTTGCCCCCGATATTTTGTTTTTCATGCAAAATTCCTGGGGGCAAACAAGGTGCATTCTGGGAGATGTGCAAGTCTCGAATACCAATTTCAGCACAAACGTACTGCCAACTCCGCGGTATGGCTTGGTATGGCCAGGCCAGTACCTTACACATGTACACAACTAAACCACCCCGGCAGTGGCAGCCATGGATAGCTGCAGTTGATATCTACCGCGTACCCAGACGTCTCTCTCTCGAAGAAAATGTGCGGGCAAAGGAAGGTGGGAAGGAGACAACGGGCGAGACGGCGCTTCGCCTGCCGTCTGTACCCTTCCCATGGTCCCTCGTGGTTCATCACCAGTCGCTGATGTTTCGAGTTCGCCTCTACGGTGCGAAAAACGAAGCGCCTGAGGAGGAGGCTGAATTGGTATTGTTTAGAAAAGACCCCAGGAATCCCGGGGAGTATCAACAAAATTAAACAAGCTGTTTAATATATGGTCTCAAAGAGATCTCTCACTTTATGGCAAGATAACAATCGCCAAAACATTAGGGCTATCGAAACTTATCTTTGTAAGTTCGTGCATACATACACCGCCTCATTATATAGATATCACTAATAGATTGATTACAGATTTTGTCTGGAATAACAAGAAACCAAAGATAAAAAGGGATACTCTTATAGGTCCAAAAGAAAGAGGAGGGCTAAATTTACCAGAATTTGAGACTATATCCAAGTCGTTACAAAGTGCTTGGGTTCAAAGAATGAAGAATGGTGTAGAGGATCAGTGGATGTTAATTCCTTTATTTTATTTGAAAAATGTTGGAGGGCCATTTATTTTTGATTGTGATTATGATGTAAAATTTCTAGGCCTAAACAACTTACCAATATTTTACGCTGATGTTCTTAACACCTGGGCGGAAGTCCGAGAGCAAACTTCGGACAATGAAATCTGTGTTGAGAATGTAATCTTATGGAATAATAAGCATATTTTAATAGACGGTAAATCAGTATATTGGAAAGAATGGCATGAAGCTGGTATACTTAGAATTAAAGACCTACTAGATGAAAAAAACAGATTCCTCACACTTAATAAGTTTCTTTTAAAAACTGGCCTCAAGGCGCCTTTTACTAAGTTATTTGGTTTAATATCAGCTATACCTTATAGATGGAAGTGCGCTTTGAGACCGGGATTTATCATGAACAATCAAGATATGGAACAAAATACAACTAAGGAAATTAACGTGGTTACTAGCAAGAAGGTTCGCAATATACTTATTCAAAGGAAATTTGTAGAACCGTTGGCTAGCCTTCGACTATTCAGGCAAGGATTGGACAGTTCCAAACTTAGTTCCATTTATATGCTTCCATTTAAAATAACTAAAGAAACAAAATTAAGCATATTTCAATATAAGATTGTTCATAATATTCTTCCACATGGGGTTCTGTTACACAGAATGAAAATCGTAAACTCTCCTCTCTGCATACATTGTGGTTCCCTAGAAACGCTCTCCCATATGCTAGTTAACTGTATAGTAATTCAAAAGTTTTGGTTTGAAGTAATTAGCTGGTGGAAAACTCACAGTGGTGAATGTTTGCTATTTGATGACTTAAGTATAATGTATGGCTATAATCCCGAAGATCCTAAAAGGCAAATCCTTAACTATTATATCCTTCTTGGCAAGAGACATATCTTCCTGCAAAGGAGCGAAATTAAACCCCAAGCTTTGATCACTTTCTTGAATTCGTTAAAGACAAGTTAATTGTGCAAAGATCGATTTTTTATTCCAAAGGACAAAAAGCAAAATTTCTTTCACAATGGAAGCCTCTCCTCTCCTTACTGTAAATGATTATAATCTAATCTACGTATGCGTGAAGCAAGCCTGGTTGCAGTGTATGTTGTATTAATCGTTGGAATCTTAATTCTTAATTGTAATTTTTTGTAACCTTAAATTTTGTAGTGAAAGTGTTGTAAGTGATGTAGTGGTAATAAAGATCTCTGTTAATAAAAAAAAATAATAATAATAATAAAAAAAATCAACAAAATTTTATTCGAGGAGGCTCCCGGCCTCCCTGAGGTCCAACCCCTTAATCTTGACAGAAACGGCACCAATTTCGTGTACCCTCTATTGACAAATGGAACCCCTTTCACATACACTTGGGACGGCAAAACCACAACGACAAACCAGTGAGGTTCAGCGGGATCTTTATTTTTTCATGAGTAGACCTGGATCGGTAAAATCTTGAATACCAAGTTTTAAAACTAACGGTAAAGTGATAGAAAAAATAAAGAAAGAAAACAAAAATAGAAAAATAAAATGGTGAATTATTTTTGCCCGATATTTCAGTTTTCAACACAAACCTAGTTCAACGGGGGCTAAAAAAGAAAAATGAATACAAACACAAGATGAACGTTACATTTGCGAGATTTTAATACATAGAAAACGAAAATGATTTATATAGGCTGCTAAAACTGGTAAATTACACTCTGATTAAGTTCATCAGATCTATTTCTACCACGGGGTTCTAATGTCATTGCTTTGTCGATGAGGTGAGCCCCTGTCACATACCTACTCTAAAACCGTGCATCACTCAGAAATTAATGTTATTGCGCTGTCTTTAAAATATGATTAAATCGCAAAACCAGAACGTATTGTCGACTTTTTACAACCATAAAATGCATCTGTAAGCTCTTCTGGGCCTTTTTACAGACCAAAATGACAATTCTCCTACCCTTGATATACCTGTAGGCTGTAGCCTAAAAGAGGAACCCGTTTCGGGAGAAGCCTCACCTTATAGGTCATTATAGTAAGTACCCCCTCCGCTGGTCTAGAATTTTCGGTTTCACAGAAACTGAGGTACCAGAAAAGCTCGTGTTTGTGCATGTAAGACTGTGATTAGCATAATGATCACAATAGCTTAATATTTTGGGGAAAACAGTAAGGAAGCCTTCCGTAATAAATCCGAAAGATCGCTGAGGGACAAAGCGCCACTTAGAATGTAGTTTTGTACTCTGCCGATGACCTATATAACCTAACTTTAACCGAAAGGTTTAAAAATACTATTAGAGAGAAATCCCGCTGTGATTGGGTGTCCTGAAATAAAGGTAAACCTCAGTTTTCCTAACTCAAAGCTTGCAACTTATATGCAACAGCACAGAGAAATGACAAGCATTTAAAAGACAGTGATCAGTATATTGAACCTATACTGGATTCGTATTGGCTTAAACTTGGCTTGGTTTCGGGTGAGACTTTCATTCAAAAATCTAAACTACGAAATCAGTATATTACGTCATGCAGAACTTCACCAACAACAGACTACGACTTTCGCTTTTCGTTAAAAAGGAACGGAAAAATAGTTTGAAGCAAAAATGAATTATTTTTCTTATGTGATAATGGAGGCAGCGGAGAAAACTTCTTTAGGGAGACCAAACTATGTCCTGTATGGCGCAAACATTTCTTAGCCGCCGGAGCCGAGTTATTTTCGGCAGTTTACATTCCATAGAATATTATCTTCCTTAAGTGCTGATTGTTCTTAAAATCTTTAATCTTCAAGCGTAACGATGAGTGTACAATGCAAAGGACAAGTGAGACTGTTCGCTGAAAAGTTTGAATCGTGGTTTTCATCATTGGAATGGCCACAAAAATCGACCACCGAGGATTCAGATCTTAAGGTAAGCTTCACGTATCATTTACTGCGTCTTCGCCGAATATATAACGCACGCGAACATCTTGAACCCATATCTTCGAATTACAACTTAACGTTACGTTTCGATACATTCCACTTTTAATAGCAGTGGCTACTTATAGTTGGTTGAAACAGGTCTCTGTTTTTATTGCGTGCGAAATCTTTAAAACATC